GTATACTCAGATTAATTAATCGAGATAAGGGATATCTCATTCTCAAGTTTTCAGCTCAGATTGTAAGATAATAAGAAAAAGTTTGATGGCAAGTGTATGTACAGACGTTCCTGTACAGTCAAAACAAGAAAAGAATGAACAAAGTACATAAACTTTTGAAAAAAAAATTTGACGACAAAATTTCTAAAAGAACCCACATATAATCTTTTTAATTGAAAAATTGTTCTGAAATGTAAATAAAAAAGTCTAAATGTTTCAATATAATATATTTTGTACAATTCTATATAATACACTATATATATATATATATTCATATAATCTCTGACATGCACTCAGTCTATTTATCTACGAGGTTTCACCATTTTGTCTTTTATAACTTGGAAATATTGCTATGAATGGCGTAAAAAGATATTTTCCCCATTTCTTCTTATCCTGTTTCTTAAATAATTATCCAAAAAGTTTGGAAAATTTGCTGGTTTTTCATTTATTTTATTGTGCTGCTTAAACCCACAGAGGTGACCATTGACCACCGATATCAACTTATCAAGTGCGTTAAGGGAGGAAGGGGGGAGGAGAGGGGTGGAAGTGAGGGGCATGAAAAGGTGAGATTCGAAAGGACATTATTGTGAGTGGTATAAAAGAAAGTGGTGCAATAAAGACAAAATGGCGACCCATTTAAAAAAAAATTGTGTCAAAGTTTTGAAACATAGTTTCACTTTTTTATATATTTTAGTCAGAGTATATAACTCAGCATAAAGTGAATAAAAACTTGAAATAAAACTCAAATTTCAACAATTTTTTTTCTTTCTGACAAATTCTATATTTAGCACTTGGTTCTAATCTTCTCTCCTTTAACAATTCGGAAGAAAAATTTGGGTTTTATAGATGTAAAAATAGAAATTTTTAAATTTGTCTTTGAAAAGTTTGGATTCATAATACATTTGGTCGTTGGGGCCTTAACATGAGTGTGGGGGAAATACATCCGTTCACACCAAATTACATGCATATTATTTGTTAAGATCGCACATTTTTTAAAAATATTTTGTTGGTTTGATACATTAAAAAATAAAAGCTAGTACAAAAGTAAAATTTCTATATAAACTATAGCATTTCTGGTAAATTAAAACTTAAATATTATTTTAAAACTGGCAATTAATTTCCAGGCTTGTGGTTGTGGCAACAGGAGCAAAGCGTAAACAATTAAAACAATTAAAATTTTGTAAATGACAATCAAATCTGGACTGTTAGTACAGTAATGTTCTGTACTTTATTGTACTGTACTGTACTCTACTGTATGTACTGTGTCTGTATTGTACTATACTGTATGTACTGCACTGTTCTGTTATAGTTCAATACAGTACAATACAGTACAGTACAGTACAGTAAATTAAAGTACAGTACAGTGTATCACAGTACAGTACAGTACAGTACAGTACAGTACAGTACTGTAGAGTTCAAAACAGTACGGTATAATACAGTACGGTACAATCAGTACAAAACAATACAGTACAGTACAACAAAGTACAGAACATCAAAGTACAGTACAATACAGTACAGTAAAGCACAGTAAAGCACCATACAGTACAGTACAGCACAATACAGTACAGTACAGTATAGTGAAGAATTGTACGGTACAGTACAAGATAACACAGTAAAATACAGTGCAGTATAATAACGTACTTTAAAGTACAGTATATAACAGTTCAGTACAGTACTTTATAATCCAGCATGAATTACAGCAAAGAACCGTACAGATATGCAGTACAGTGCGGTATAGTTCATTACATTGCAATCAAAGATAAAGTACAAGTGCTGTATCACAATGCAGTACAGCACAGTACCTTGCAGTAAAGTACAGTAAAGAAGAATTCAGTACTGCAATACAAAAAGACAACCCGTGCTTTTCCGCCTTGAGTTCACAATTTACGAACAAACTAACATTTAGCTGTGGGGTATACATTATATACACAATACACATAATATTCATGGCTCTACAGCATTTACAATTTTTACTGCTCTTTACAATATTATTTCTATAAACAAGAACAAGCGCTCTAAGTCCCATGTAACTTCTCCTTTTCCAATTCAAGTATATTTTTTATTTAATCTTAAAGAGATTCTTAAAAATGTATAATCTTTTAAACCCCTCTAAATTGTAGAGTGTAAATAATATCTTAAAATCTTGCACCTTATATAAGGGCTTGAAAAGGTTAGAATTTTCTCTGAAACCTTCTTAAGTCCTCGGTTTGAAAAAATTTGGGAAATAAGACTCGGATATAAGCTGTCATTGAGAATAATTTAAGACTCGAGCTTTCGAATTTAGTTGCACCTGATTTTCCACTGAGTTGTGTTAATTAAACCGGTTTTATATCGTATTCGGCGGATTTTCATGGTTGGAATTGGCGGATTCGAGGGATTTGATTACAATTAATAAGACTCAACATTGAGACTAATTCTTCACTTAAATCAGCCTAGATCGGTTTTATTTTCATTGGACTTAACTCCTTCAGTAAAACTGTAGATCATGAGTTGGATCTAAGATTTAGCCTAAACCTAGGTCTAGGGAGTTAAGACTCGAGCCGAAGCTTTTAAATTGTGGGCTCATGAAAAGTATTAAAAGGACTGTTGAACGATTGTTCTCAACGTACTGAATTATATCATATAATCCAATCAACTAGATCAATACAATCATTAAAATTTACAAATTTACAAACATTTTTAAAAATTAATTTTGTTAATTTTCTTGATTCAAGGGATGCATTCGTTTTCACCATGATTGATTACAAAAATTGATGTCTTTTTAGTTCTTGATAATTTTAGGAACCTTGCATTATAAATTGTGTTTTAAGTCTTTTTTACATATGTTAGTGCCTTTAAGTCTTTGGTCTCTTGTTTTTGTTGTTGTATTTAAGTCTTATTTTAATTTTGATATTGTTGAAATCTTTGAAGGTTTTGGTGAATATGCATTAGTTGGAAGCAAACAAGTTGGCGAGTCTGATTTAAAACTCCAGAATTTAGTCGAAAATTATGATTTTTAACTCCGGGCAGAGAAGGTCCAGCATTCTATACATTTCACCCTGAAAATTTGTAGAAGTTAATAAGATGGAAAAATATTATTCAAAAGAGTAAAATGGGATTAAACTAAAAAGCTTTAATTAGTTTATCAACACATTTCTAAATACAGTCGTCGTCGTATATATCAATACAACGAAGACGACTTTCAATTTCGATTTTTGATTTCTACCAAGCTTTCAAAAACCATGAATACTTATAAACATTAACATAAGAAGAGGCTGTCAATTAACAGATAAATAAAGCAAATTATATTTATAGATAATGCAATCTATTCTAAAAATCCTAAGAAAAAATGTTACTAGGAAGGTTTGATCACCTAAAATCCTCGCTGGCAGCAAGTGGTGGATTATCAAATGTTTGACAGGCCTGTGTTCTACCATGATTTAGATCCTGATCAAACCAGATTCCAAACTGTCCATCTCCAGCCCCTGTACAATACATGATTTAGATCATGATCAAACCAGATTCCAAAGTGTCCATCCCCTGCACAATATATGATTAAGATCCTGATCAAACCAGATTCCAAACTATCCATCTCCAGCCCCTGTACAATACATGATTTAGATCATGATCAAACCAGATTCCAAAGTGTCCATCTCCAGCCCCTGCACAATATATGATTAAGATCCTAATCAAACCAGATTCCAAACTATCCATCTCCAGCTCCTGCACAATACATGATTTAGATCATGATCAAACCAGATTCCAAACTGTCCATCAATGCTAGGATCAATTATTTCATTTTAATCATTTTATTGAATTTCTTATTTTCTATGAATTTGTTCACAGATTTCTACAAATTCTTCAAATATCGTCTTTTCAATAAAAATTCCAGAAAATATGCAGAAAATATTTGTGAATAATCAGAGATTATAGAAACTAAAAATTGAATAAGATTACTTATTTTCGATGATAAGATTAATTTTTATTTTCTCAACCTGTTCCTAAACAACTAATTAGTTTACTGTGAAATTTTGTTTACATTTTTCGTCGTCGTTATTTGATAATAAATAGAACATTTCTGAAAACGTATCCACCCAAAAGTACGATTTTGAGCGTCGACTTTGCGCTCAAACTTAAGATTTACAGATTTTTCAAAAGTTTATATGTCTCGAATGAATCCTAAAGAATTTGTCCACAACCCTGCATACTCAGTTCAACTACCTTACATAGCCGGTCTGTCCCTTAAATATGATTGGTTCCATTTAAAATTGAATTCAATGTTTCAAGATTTAAGCCGGCACTCAATTGAAGCCGGTTTTTGATGGATTTGAGACGCGGCTCAAATTCATTAAATTCGGACTTAGTGTATTTAAGATTTAAATTTTCCTTTATTCTTTTGTTTGTTTCCCCCCATTAATTAAATACTTATTTGCTTTTATATCTGAATTTAAAAATTTTATTTTGTAAATTGAAAAGATCAAAAGTATTTTTCTCAGTTTTTTTTTTCAACAATATTCTGAAAAACAATTGTCCACGTTACCATGAAAAAAAAACATTTTCAGGAAACAAGAAAAAGTTTGGATAAACAGGGTACTTACTAGCTTATCTAATAAACACAATTAAACATTAATCTTAAAATTAAGGGACTGTACACATAATTTCTAGCTACCCTCCATTTGTGTTGAGTAGAGTCCGATATTTACATTGGTATACGTTTTAAATCCTTTGCTTGCAGAGACAAAAAAAGAAATTGCCACCATACAATTGTAGTTTGAAAAACAACAATATCTCTATCTATGATTGTGATTTACATAGTGCAATGTTGTAAATCAGAAATGGCACTTTTTAGAATAGAGGATCAATTGAAATACTATTTACGGTCCCTTTAATATTAATTGTTATATTTCAATAATAAAAGTTATAACCGTGTAAAAATCTGATCAGTTAGTTTGCAAAATTCAATTTAAAAATGTAAATATTACTTAATTAGAAATATAAAAGAGGAGGGGTGTGTGCTTTACCTTGCAAAACAATTCATTTTTCTTTGACCAATGATAGATTTCAACTGAATTCTCAGAATCATCTTGTATAGAGAATAACCAGGACTCACCAGTTCCTGGATATTACCAATCAATCAATCAAATATTTAATCAACTAATTTTTCAACAAATTTATCAACTAATTATTAAATAAAATTTTTAGATCAATCATTGGATTATTGAGTTAAGGGGTATTAATTAACAAAATGATTACTCCATCAATTAATCCAGTAATTACTTCATTAATTACTCCATAAATTTAAACATTACTTAATCCATCAACTACTCCATCAATCACTTCATTAATTAATCCATCAAGTAATCCATCAATTACTCCAATGATTTCTCCATCAATTAATCCATCAGTTAATCCATTAATTACTTCATAAATTACTCCATCAATTACTTAATCAATTAATCCATCAATTACTTCATCAATTGCTCTATCCATCAATCCATCAATTACTCCATCAATTAATCCATTAATTATTCCATTAATTACTTCATAAATTACTCCATCAATTACTTCATCAATTACTCTATCCCTCAATCCATCAATTACTCCATCAATTAATCCATTATCTAATACATCAACTAATCTTTCAATTAATCCAACAATAACTTCACTATTAAAACAAAAATATCAAGTTAACCAGCATTCTGTGCAATCTTCAGACGTCACATTTAAATACAAACCAAACCTGACACCTTGTGTGGTTTACAGCGAACGAAAAATGCGAAAATTTTCGTTCACATTTCGTAAACTTTTCGCGAAATTTCTAATTTTTTCTCGAAAAGGATTGCAGTGAAAAATGCAAAAACGAAGCGAAATATCGCGAAAAACATTGGCGTTGAAGCTGTATTTTGTCTTTTTTGATTAATTTTCGTAAACATTTTGCTTTTTTATATTTTAAATTTTGAATTTTTTCGCAAAGTTTTTGCATTTTCCATTTCGCGAAAATGTTCACACAAAATGCGAAATTTTTGCGAAACGATTTTTACTTTTTGCAGCAAACCCTACTTGTCGCTACCAAGGTTGTTTAGTAAGGTTGCTTACTCTCGATGCACTCCAATGTACGGCAAATGTCGTCTTCTGGTAATGGAAACTGAACTCCATAAATAACGTCACTAACCTTTACACTCGCCTCTATAATCAGTGACGTTATTTACAGATTTCAATGTCCATAGGAGACAACATCGAGATTAAGCAACCTTACAAAGCAACCTTGGTTTCTACCACACTTGCTTTACCATTGTACCTGTAAATGCATCTGTTTGCAAGGGAGGTTCAGATAAAAGGGACCCGAACACATGATCTTCTACGTCCTAGATTTTAAAATTATCCATCAACTTTATTAGATCTATTTTTACCATTCTAGGATTTTTGGTTTTCATGTGGCTTCTTAAAAAACTACAGTCGTTGTTTGCATCAATACAATGAACATTACTTTCAACTTCCGTTTTGATTTCTACCTTATGTTTTCAAACAGCTTAGATACACACATAAAGAGAAGCTACAGTCAATTAGTAGTTTCTCTTTGTTTACTTGTAAACTTGCAATTTTAACAAAGCTTGTTAAAATCGAAACTTAAATAGAAAAGTCGTCTTCATTCTATTGATTTTAAACGCCAAGCCGTGTTAGAGTCTTGAACTCCAAAACATGTTCAATGTTTTAAACGATGCCCATAAAAAATAACAGTGGACAATTTTTTCACGGTAAAGCAATATTTTTTTTTTTTTTTTTGGGGGGGGGGCAATGTAGGAAAAATCGCATAAACATTATATTTTGTAAACTTGTAGTACTTTATACATCATATGTTCTAAACTTAGACTTAATAGAACTATTCATTGAAACTGCGTTTCATTTCAATAATTTCATTTTATAATTGAACATGATTAGCTCAAATCATGCGACATTCTTAAATTACACTTAAGTTCTTAAATTCTAAAATATGGGCAGGGATAGATTAACTATGTTATATCTATATACTCTTTAATCCTTTAAATACGTATAATATTAAACTATAACTATGCAATAAATACGTGATATGATGATCTTAATCTTGTGATATCAATAACATCGTAGGAATTTAATTACGTCAATTCCTGTTTACCTTGTAACCTAAAAGATTGAATAAGGTTAGTTGATTGAGACTCTGCTTTTGACTACGTTATCAGAAGCATAGTAAGCTTAAAACAAAAGCTTTGGTTCTCGATGAAACACCTGAGCAGAGATCTTTCCTAGTTTATTTATTATTGAATCGATATATAGCTTAAAAGATAGCTTGGTTCCTCCTTAAATTTTACAAGTTGAGAAATTGCTTGGTAGCAATTTCATTAGACTGTGTGTCCTTTAGAACCGGGGAGTTAAGCCTGGTTGATCTTGGTAACGAGTAGACCTGGATAGATACGTCTCAAGTAAATTGTTATGGAGTAAATATTTACTTCAGAACTACTCCTCCATGATAGCCAAATGAAAATAAAGAGTGCAGTTGATGAAGAGGAAATACATATTTATTTTTTCTATCTAATTAAACTATTGGAAACCAATTAGCTTCATAATGCTGCGTAGTTCTTTTAAATATTAAAAGTTGTAAATATTTGAATATTTTAATATTATCCAGTTTTCAGAAAAATTCTTCAAAGGCTATTTTCCGAGAGAAAATATACAGAGTTTTCAAAATATTTAACAACCTTAAAGGGAGTGTTCGTAAAAATGATATTGAATTTTTAACCATTTTCTCCTGGTAGATGCAACAGATAAAAGTAAAATTAGTATCCATTGATAACGAATTCAATCCGACATTAGCCCCCTTCATTTTTCGCTGACACTCCCTTTAACATTCGTTAGATTCAATTAGATTTTAAAATTCGTTGACTTTTGAAATATTTTTTTGAAAATTAAACTTTATTGACATTATTTTAATCCCTTCACTCCGATTCCATTACCGCCTGATCCAATCAGGGTTCAGTCATGTGTTTGTTGGCTATTCTGGACCAATAGAAAAAGTTTGGCGGTAACATCTATATTTCTATCTATCTCATTATCCAATTAGAGATATGAATCCTTCACTCGGTGCTATTAGTAAATGGAAATATTTACTTCTACTGAAACTATAGTGAATTTTGTTGTGTTTTAGAAACAAAAACATTCCCCTTTCTGTAACTCAGTTTATTTTTAGCCACAATACAAATTGCACTGTGATCTTGCCATGGCTTAATTTGTTGCTTCTATAATTAGTAGCCTGACTGGACAGTACGACTAAATGCATATACAGTACGTGTTGTACCGGCACGGATCATGCAACTTTAAGACTGGGGTGGGTGGAATCTAGAAACTATTATAAAGAATTACCTCTTATATGACGGTTTAAAGTCAAATTTCAATTATCAAAATAAAGTGATATTTTTTATTTGAATACAATGTTGCATCGGGAGGTAAGTAAATAAATGTCCATGCCCTTCACAATTTCCATCTGAGTTTGGGTTTCTGTTGGCATACACTCCCTTTAATAATTCTGTAAAAATTACATTACCTCAATTACAAGAAGAACAGGGTTCTCTAGATTCTGCAATTTCCTGTAGAAAGTTGACAGAGAAAACCCATCCCTGTTTAAAATAAAAGGCTGTAAAATAACTGAAATTGCTAAGATTCATTAATTTATTATTATTATTATTATTATTATTATTATTATTATTATTATTATTATTATTATTATTATTATTATTATTATTATTATTATTAATATTATTATCATTATTATTATTATTATTATTATTGTTATTATTATCACCTGTCTGTAGAGAACGCTTTTATCCAAGTATGATTCACAACTCTGAAAACCACAAAATTAATAATTAGATAATTAAATTATCTTTTATCAAAACTAATTAGTGAGGTTGGTTTATGACAGGTTAATTTACAAAATACAGAAATAATGAGCGCTCATTTTAAAACATTTTTGATGTTTTAAAATAAAAAAAAATTTATTTTTCATTTTACTTGAATTTAATAAATGTTCTGTGTTAAAACCATATCAAGTGTGTTTATCCTTATCGTTCGTTTTTCTATTCGTTATTTTATCTTTTAAGGGATAGAGCCATCATTTCTAAAGTCCATCAAATTAAAAAAAAAACAGACAAGTTTGATTAACAACGGAAACCAAGGTTTAAAAATACCCTGTCTCTATATTTTTACCGTTCAAAAGGACAAAGCTTTCGTTCTTGTTTTAAAAAGAAAAATTTAAGTTCTCTGTTAATTTTAAGCAGATATTTGTAATGTATTATTCACAAATCAAAGACGATCTGAGGATGTAGATATGGACCCTTGTTTAGTGTATTATAATAATATCTAACTATCCTAATATAAGGATAATTTTTAACTATAAAAAAAATAAGAAATTAATGAAAAAGAGCAAAAGTCATTTCTTTGGGAGTTTAATTTACATAATTGGCATTGCTAAAAAGTAAACTGAAAATCCAACTAAATGGAAAATCCACAACTAAATGGAAAATCCACAACTAAATGGAAAATCCACAACTAAATGGAAAATCCACAACTAAATGGAAAATCCACAACTAAATGGAAAATACACAACTAAATGGAAAATCCACAACTAAATGGAAAATACACAACTAAATGGAAAATCCACAACTAAATGGAACTAAATACAACTAAATGGAACAAAGAATAAATTCAACTTCTCAGAAAGGGTTTATTAAAACATAGACAAACAAAGTAACACTTTATTAATAAAAAATACAGTCAATACAATGAAGACGACTTTCGATTTAAATTTTTTATTTCTACCAAGCATTCAAGCAAAACAAAAACATGGAAATGAAGAGAAGCTATCAAATAACAACTTCTCTTTGTTAACTTGTAAATTCCTAATTTAAAAAAAGCTTGTTATAAATCAAAACTTAAATAGAAAATTCGTCTCCATTATATTGAAACAAACACCGATCACTATTTAACATTTTCCTTCTAATTTTTCAAAATTATTTCTCAAATGATGAAGATTTTATTTTGTCCGCCTTTATTTACGGTTAGGCTGGCGTGTAGGATGAAATAAATATAAAAATTTGAAAAAATTAGGATTGTGTGATACTAAAGAAAATGTGTGATAAGCACAAATCTCATTTTTTTAAAAGTATTTAAAGAAGTGTTCCGAGTAAGTTACCTAGGAGGCAGATTGGGTAGAATAGCTGCTATCTCATCAGGTTCTAGTATCTGGGTATCCTCATCCATACTTGGCAGAGTACAATCCTCCTCATACGATGTACTCTTCTGCCCCAGTACTGCAGCAACCTAGAACACATTTAGTACATCAGCACATATACAGCTAGTGCAGAGCTGACAATTCCAATACTTCGCGACCTAGTTATGAGAAAAACTATTTCTTTCGTTGACATATTAAAAATTGAGAAGATTTGTTTCTTTTTAATAACCCTTTAATATGATCGATGTATTATGATTTAAAACAAAAAAATCAATCTCACATTGAGTTTACTATATTTCGACGTGAAGAACCCAACTCAATTAAGTTTTGGTATAGAAAAGTAGAAAAATAAATTAGTTTAGTAATAATATCTTAGATTTTTAAGGAAATACTGTACGTCTATAGACCAGACTGTAATGTACAGTTTAATCTACACTGAACTCTATAGTGTAAGCTACTCTGCACTGTACAGTGTACAGCATAGTCTAAATTGTACTTTACGGTGTACACTGTAGTCTAAACTAGGTCACGCTAGAGCTGCGCATCGGTTTTGCGAACAAATAAAATTTTTCATGAACAATGGTGTCGTTAAAGAACGAACGATGAACGAACGTTTTGGATCGTTTAGAGAAATGAAAAACGATATCGTTTTTAAAAACAAATGAAATAAGAAAAAACGAAAGATTTAAAATAGTTTGAATGAGTTTTAAAAAATGAATTTTTTTACTAAAGGTAAGATTTTTCCGAAAAATTTGAAAACACGAACGTTTTTAAAGAACAAACTTTTTAGAAAACAATAATATTTTTACTGAACGAACGATTTCTTTTGAACAAATTTTTGAGAAAACAATCTTTTTTTATAAGTGAACAATTGATTTTATTGATGAACGATTTTACTGAACAATGTTTCTTAAATGTACATGAAATTTACCTGAAGATCCCCATTCCCTGCCATTAAACTTTGTATTGTCAGCTGCTTTATTCCGGTCATATCAACCAGCTCTGCGCTACCGTACACCTTTATAATTTTCTTACAATATTTGTACAGAAAACATACTTTAACGTACACCTTTATAATTTTCTTACAATATTTGTACAATAAACATACTTTAACGTACAACTTTATAATTTTCTTACAATATTTGTAAAATAAACATATATTACCGTACACCTTTAGAAATTACTTATAATATATGTACAATAAAATACATTACCGTACACCTGTACAATTTACTTAAAATATTTGTACACTGAACGAACATACATTACCGTACACCTATACAATTTACTTATAATATCTGTACAATAAACATACATTACCGCACACCTGTACAATTTACTTATAATATCTGTACAATAAACATACATTACCGTTCAAAAATAATATATACAGAAAACAGAAATTACACAGGCAGGGTCAAAATTTATGAACAAGAGAAAGGTATTCATAATCAGTTTTTTCTAACATTAATATATGTGCATTTTGTCAAAATTACTCCTTTTCAACTAAAGCTGGAATTAAGATGAGAGTAGTTGTTTAAAAGTAAAGTGAATTATAAATGTTAGTCTAAAAGGCCAAGGGGTAGTAACATTTTAAAGAAGATCCAGTCTTGAAAATGGAAACACAATGCATAAACACGGGCAGCCGTAGTACATTTGAATTTCCGAGCCGGGTCAACCTTTCCGGTCCCAGTACTAAGCTCTATGGACAGGACTAACTGGTGCAACAAGGTTGACGCGGTCAGACTTTATGCTTCATATAGGCTGAATTTACTTTTACTAAAGGGGCAGATTTGCGTGTAAAGTATCTACCTCCATCTGCTTCTAGTTTTACTAAAAAACTTATGAAACTGATCTTTTTTAAATAGAGGGTCATGCAAATAATATTTTTACTGAAAGATGAATCTACAACTTACCAACGGTAGGTTTCTTGAGAGCTAGACTTACCAAAGGAAGGTTTCTAGAGAGTTAAACTTACCGAGGTTAGGTTTCTAGCTAGCTAGACTTACCGAAGGAAGGTTTCTAGAGAGCTGACTTACCGATTTTTAGTTTCTAAAGAGCTATACTTACCGAGGTGAGGGTAGGTTTCTAGAGAGCTAGACTCACCGATGGTATGTTTCTAGAAAGCTATAATTACTGAGGGTAGGTTTTTAGAGAGCTATTCTTACAAAGGATAGGTTTCTAGAGAATTAAACTTACCGAAGGTAGGTTTCTTGAGAGCTAGACTAATTCAGGGAAGGTTTTTTGAGAGCTATACTCACTGAGGGAAGGTTCTAGAGAGCTACTTACCAAAAGTAGGTTTCTAGAGATCTAGATTACCAGCGGTAAGGTTGTAGAGAGCTAGATTACCAAGGGTAGGTTTCTAGAAAGCTAGACTTACCGAGGGTAGGTTTCTTAAGAGCTAGACTTACTAAGAATAGGTTCTAGAGAGCTACTTACCAAGGGTAGGTTTCTAGAGAGCTAGGCTTAATGAGGGTAGATTTCTAGAGAGATACTTACCATGGGTGGGTTTCTAGAAAGCTAGACTTACCAAAAGTAGACTTATAAAGAGCCAGTAGGTTGGTTACTAGAGCTAGACTTACCAAGGGTAGGTTTCAAGAGAGCTACTTAACGAGAGTAGATTTTTAAAGAGCTAGACTTACCGAAGAAAGGTTTCTTGAGAGCATCCCGAAAAGCCGCACTACAACCTCATTAGGTATTCGTAGGAGAAACTCAGGTGTCTAGATATAGATAGATAGATAGATCGATAGATAGATAGATAGATAAATACACTGATTGATAAATAGAAAGATAAATAGATAAATAGATTTATAGATTTATAGAATTATAGATAGATAGATACATTGATTGATAAATAGAAAGATAGATGGAGAAATAGATATATAGAATTATAGATAGATAGATAGATATAAGCTTACTTCTGAACTTAAATTAATTGGTTTATCTTCTTTCAATTTGCAAACTTCCTCCGAGATTTCGCAATTCTAAAAATATAAAAATTTTAAACAAGTAAAACTTTTGGCAGTTGTTAATATTTCACGCAACATTTTTAGTGAAAAGAGATGGTGCTTCTCTGGACATGGATATTTTGTTTCACTTATTACTTTCCTAGACTGTATTTTGTTCCACTTATTACTTTCCTAGACTGTATTTTGTTCCACTTATTACTTTCCTAGACTGTATTTGTACTTCATGGGCAGTTTTCAAACAGAAATATATTCAAGGGCCGCGAAGAAAATTGTAAAATCAAGCATTAATTGATGTTAAAAATTATAAATTGGAGTTTTTGGCTTTCAGTCAATAAAAAGACTTTAAATGCTTATTTGACACCTATTATTTGACACCTATCACCCCGGACTAACCAGAGTGAGCATCATTCGGTTTCTTATAATTGAAATCAAACGCGTTTTGGTCTATAATTCAACAATATTTTACCTAACGGATTTGTTTATTCTATACTTTTTCAAAATGCATATGCCGACAAAAAAGTATTTAAGAAAAAAGTCTAAAAAATTATGTTTAATGGGTCAAATTGTTATCGAAAGTCACAGCCTTCTGGAATATTGACAGAACCGTTAAATCCACGTGCTATGGCGTACAATTTTTTATTGAAAACCTAAAATGGTAAATGTTTGATACAGGGTGTCCCAAGAAACATGACAGTTTGTGAAAAGTTTAAAATGTCTTCTTCCATAATTCAATAAGTTGTTTGATACTAAAGAGACTAATAACATCTTTTATATGACAGTTATACTATAGTAAAATTGATTTTACAGTAAAATATATATGAGTTAAACGTTTTTTAAAGAAATAAACTGCAAAAAGTCTTTAATATCTAATACAGTATGTGGAAGAAGACATTCAAAACTATTCACCAATTGTCATGTTTCGTGGGACACCCTGTATTTAAAGTACTACTACATCTACAGTCAAGGCAGATAAAAATACACAGGCTAAATTTGTAAGCATGAAATGATGAATTATGCCTAGAATTATGAATTTTTTAAAGCATTCACTTGTTTAATATTAGCATGCTCCATCTTGTTTTCTTTTCATACAATTTAAGGTATACAAAATACCTTAAATGTAAAAAGTGAGAATTTACATGTAAACTAGTTCCGTATGAAACCGTCATTTTTTTGTCTTACAATTTTTTTAAATGCCCCTCGCCACTTAACAGAAAGAAATTAGCCCCCTTGATAAATTCCTGTGTACGACTTTAAGCAAATCTGATAAAGATTAATCAATTGGCGTTATTTTTCCTTTTTCAGCAATAACTTAAAACAAATCATACTTTAAATTTAATTGACTGGCTTTGTTTCAAATATTAAGATTTCAAAGTTATTATACCAAACATGTCAGATTTGCTATCCGTTAGATTCTTAATATATTGAACATGCAGAGACAGTAAACAATATTAAACAGCTGACTACAGCTAACAAAATATCTGACAAAACAGCTGATAAATCAGCGGAACAAACAGCTTGCTGGTCAGCTTACTAAACAGCTGACAAAACAGCTAGCAAAACAGATAACAAAACATTTGACAAAACAGCTGACAAATCAGAGGAACAGCTGGTAGGTCAGCTTACTAAACAGCTGATTTAACAGCTGACAAAACAGCTAGCAAAACAGATAACAAAACATTTGACAAAACAGCTGACAAATCAGAGGAACAGCTGGAAGGTCAGCTTACTAAACAGCTGATTTAACAGCTGACAAAACAGCTAACAAAACAGATATCAAATCAGCTGAACAAACAGCTGGTTGGTCTGAATGAACAGCTGCCTAAACAGCTGTCTAAACAGCTGAATAGACTGCTGTATAAACAACTGATTCCAATTGGTTTTGGTGACACTGTACCCACCTTGGATAATTGGATCAATAGGTAGGTGGCCATAGTGTCCTCATAATGTAAGGACTGTCTTCTGTCCTTAGAGATGGTCCGCTTTCTTGAACGTTTTCGTCCCAAATTTACTCTTTCCTCAGTCTTTTCGTCTTGTTTCTCATCGCTTTTAGAGCGGCTGAAAAGTGATAACTGAGAGACAAAAAGAGGAAAAATCTGTTGAGAACGGACAAAATGTGCTCTTAAAACCTTCAATGAAACATAAGAATTCAGAAACTTTTGTCCGATTCTCAAGTCCACACTGAGATTGAGAATAAAGCATGCAGAAAAATTATGCAATAAGCAAATATAGAAAAAATTATCTTTCACCCCAAAATTTAAATCCCACTTTCCTTTTCATTCTTATTATCATTTATTAAAAAGAAATCGATCTTTTGTTACTTTTTCATTATTTTCATTCCCATCAGATCCCCTAGTTTGGAATTTCTTTACCTCAGCTCTGTGACCTGGAAATGCTCGTCAAAGCTTTGATTCTTAAGACTGGAATTGTTTGATAGTTCATCAGAAACAGAGTCTTCAGTTTTTAAATGCCTAGAACATTTACAATGTGTGGTAATCCAAATTTTACTCAGGTGTCATACATTTTTTTATAAATGCAGAACTATCATTGAGACTTTGTTCATTTAGCTATTGTAAAAATAATTTAGTAAAAAATGCTGTTAATTCCGCTCTATAATGCAAAAGTACACTTTAATTACAGTGGTTATTCTCTACGGCGGGGGGAATAGCACTGTTAATTGCTTCTAATGCAAAAATGTTAAACAATGTTTATTATCTCGGTTAAATATTGCTGTTAATCTCCCTCTAATAGTGTTAATTCCCTACAGGAAAAAATGTTGCTTCCGCTCTAATAAAAAACCTATTTGAAAAATGTTGATAGTCTCGGGAAATAATACTGTTTTTATGAAACTATTGTGTTCTTTATCATTATTACTCACTTCATCGTGAATTTCATAATGAACGTGCTTTAACGTATTCCTCGTGCTGTAAAGTTAAATTAGCTGTACATTATAACACGTGTGCTATAAAGTTTAGATTGATTCCCGGATTTTCTCTAAATTTTTTTTTGGATATTTCCCAAATATTTTTTTCAATTAAAATGAAAATTAAATTAAAATTAACTTTATATTTAGACTTTTTCCTTGTTTCAAAGCTTATTTGATCTAGAAATAGCCCTTGAAATAAGACAAGTACACAAATGTTTCAAAAAATTACCTATATAACACTATTATTTTGGTACAACGTGCTATAAAGTTTTTGAACTTAAATTTTCTCTATATCTCGAAGGTTCTCGTCTTTTTAGATTATATTTTGTCCCGAGCTTTAACCTTCTCGATAAAGAGAAAATATCTGTCCAAAAACTTTATAACACTGCAAACCAAAAAAACAGTGTATAAATAGTTAATGTCCCCTCTCAAAATCGTCTTTGAAAAATGATAATTTTTTAGGAATAAATAATTCCGTTGTAATGAAAAATTGTTTTTTGAAGCATGTTTATGTGAATCTAACCTTGGACTGATGTCCTCTGTACCAGCTGATGAGTCCTCTAATTCAGGCTAAAATCAATAAATCAATCAATCAATCATTCTATGAATCAATCAATCTATCAATCAATCAACCACTAAATGATCTCTATCTATCTATCTATCTATCACCTGCTCGTCACAAGTAGGGAAGACATCTGATTCTGAGAAACTTGTTGACACAACCTGAAATTTAAAATATTAAAAAAATTATTTTCTAAAAAATGCTTTTAATCCCAACGAGAAAGGTTTGTTGTACAATTCTACCAATTGTAATTTATGAATTCATTATTGGAAACCATTTAGAATATCAATACAGTATGGAAAGCTGGGTATTGGAGTCATATTGGAATACCTTGCTCTTCTGTTACTTAAAGGGACTGTAAGCGTAATTTCAAGTGGCCCTTGTGCAAAGATGGCAATGCCCGATTCACAATGGTACTCTTAAAACCTTTATCTGATTAATAATATGTCATTTTTTATGTAAAAGTGTTTTTTTTCTGATAACTGATAAAAAGTTTCTTACAATGGAATGCACAAACCACTATGTAGAGAAACTACAGTTAAAAATTTTAACTCTTCGCGAAAAAAAAAAATTCGAACTTTTTTCTAAAGATTTATTTCCAGGTTTTTTCAAGAAACTTTTTTTTTCGGGACTTTCTTACAAAAATTCGGTTAGGGGGATTTAATGAATCTGGGTCTAATACAAATCATCTTGGTTTAAATCTAACAGAATCCAATATATAGTAGAGCTAGAGTTAACATAAACAAATCTTACTTAACCCCTTTATCCCCCCACCTCCCCCCTCCATACAACTCGTCTTGACCCCCCCCCCACAGTGGGGTATTTTAGGTGGAAAGGGGGATTACTGGTTTTTGTTTCATGATGAGAATGGACACATAATGGACAATTTAAATGTATTCTGAAATCTTTTATTTTATCTTCTATTAAAAATAGTGTTTTCATCTTAAAATATCCAACTGTTTTAAGCGTCCACACTCTGCGGCATAGTATTGTTTCGGACAACCATGATTGTTTATTCTCAGTCATTCTACTCTGTTCTCTGTAGTGGTTATTGGTTTCCAATTCAGAGCTATAAGGTGTGTGTACAATGTACATTGTACATATTTAGTACAATTGCACAGTTTACATAGTAAATATACACTGTTTACATAGCCTAGCTTAGTTTATGTAGATTTACAACTGGACAAGGGAAATTATTTAACAACTGTATGCGTTCAAGGTACACTACACTGTACATTATACAGTACACTGTACAGTGTAAATTATACTGTACACTGTAAATCATAAAGTACACTGTATATTTTACTGTGCACTGTACATCATAAAGTACACTGTACATTGTAAAGTACACTGTACATTCTACTGAACACTGTATATTATACAGCAAACTGCACATAGTACACTGTAAATTATACAGTACACTGTAAATTATACAGTACACTGTAAATTATACAGTACACTGTAAATTATACAGTACACTGTAAATTATACAGTACACTGTACATTATACAGTACACTGTACATTATAAAGTACAACAGTACAATGTACATTATACAGTACACAGTACATTATACAGTACACTGCACATTATACAGTACACTGTACATTATACAGTACACTGTAGATTATACAGTACACTGTACATTATATAGTAAACTGTACACTTTACAGTACACTGTACATTATACAGTACACTGTACATTATACAGTACTCTGTACATTATACAGTACACTGTACATTATACAGTACGCTGTACATTATACAGCACACTGTACATTATACAGTACACTGTACATTATACAGTACGCTTTACATTATACAGTACGCTGTACCTATACAGTAAGGAGTGGAAAAACAGTACACCGTACAATCTATACAGAAATATATAATCTTACAGAATAAAAGTCATAGTAAAATGTAAAGTTACCCTCTCCTTTTTCCAGTTTGGGACCTTTTTTTTGGCATGAACAAAAAATGGGTCATATACAAAGAACTAATTGTAATATAAAGAGTAGGCATTGGGATTTATACGCAAAACCTGACGCCTCAATTGGGTTCAATGAGAAGCCATAGAATGTCGTCTTTCTATAATTTAAAAAGATTTTAGGCCTTTTTAAGCATTTCCATCACCAAAAACTTGCGTTTTTTTTATGTAATTTGCCGTTAGAAATTTAAAATGTTATTATCTTTATGGATAAAATTTGTCTTAAAACAGATTACAATGTAGTTGGTTAAAAACAATTTGGCAACTTAAAACCAAGGTTTTTGGGCCTTGCTCACGTTACTGGCCTAAAATTCTGCTTTAGACTATTACAAAACTATATTTAATGACATCTCACAAATTTTTTTAAAAATATGTGGTATTTTTCATACAAATGAGATGCGTAACAAAATCAAAATTTTAGCTTTATTTTATCAGGAGAGCATCCAACTGATTAAAACAAATTTAGAAGTTTATATCCCTGTCGTTATTATCCCACCATTTTTAACACCTACAATGATTTATTATTTGATAAATAGAGATTTAATGTTGATTGTTTGAATTTAAAACCAATACTGCAGCCAATGTCGTCATATAAAAGTGTACAGAGCGTACACACTATTCGGATAAATTCCTAAAGCCCTATCTTCTACTATTCTACCGTCTTTGGTCATATACCTTTATATATGTAAAAAAATTAAAAAATGTGTATTTTTATTTTTCTGTATTTTTTTGTGAATAGAGAGATAGAACGAGGAATGATAAATAGTTATTATTTGTATACTGTATATTATATCTAATGAAGGTGGTATGGAAGGTATCTATAACGATCTAGAAAAGTTAGACTAAAAGGCTAATGTTTAAGTGCTCTAGCTTTAACTCTTTTCTCTAACCAAACCATTTTTCTTTTATGAGGGGTTAGATTAGAGATAGGATAGGAATCAAAAATACCATTTGGCGGATTATCTAAATGTTTGGGGGATTTTCGACTTAATTAATTGAAAACTCTCTTCTAAATGAAGTATTTATGTTTCAAATTTAGCACTTACTTGTAATGGATTGTACGTTGCTAAACTGTACAGTACCTTAATATACTTTACTAAACTGAAATAAGTTGTAGTGGACACTGTACAGTACTGTACTGCATTATACTGTATTAGATTGTACTGTACTAACCTGTAGACTGAGTGTATCTGCTGATTGTTGATGATCTGCTTGAAAACCAACCAGTTCCTCCTCTCCGTACAACAGATTTACACCCTGTACATAATTGGGATAAAGTAAACATGTTCATAAGGTGCAACAGATTTACACCCTGTACACAATTAGGATGAAGTAAACATGTACACAAACTCTGTAATAATTAGGATAAAGTTAACATGTACACAAGGTACGACAAATTTACACGCTGTATATGAATAGTAATAAGTAAACATGTAAACACAGTAAAACAGGTTTAAAATTCGGTGATGGTGACAGACCAAACCTACAGCCTGTACATAAATATGATAAATTAAATAAACATACTGTACAACAGATTTTTTCCCTGTACATAAATTGGATAAATTAAACATTACACACTGTACAACAAGTTTACACCCTGTACATAAATATGAATAAGTAACCATGTACGCAATGTAAAACAAGTTTACACGCTGTAAATAAGTAAGATTAAGTAAACATGTACACAATGTAAAACAAGTTTACACCCTGTACAAAAATAGGATTAAGTAAACATGTAAAACAGATTTGCATCATGTACATTAATAAGAATAAGTAAACATGTTTACAGTGTAAAACAAGTTTACACCCTGTACATAAATAGAAATAAGTAAACATGTACATTGTAATTGTAAAATTATTAAGTAAATTAAGTTTCCCTTTTGTCCATTTGACGAGGGTCAACCCAGACCGAAATATATAAAATAATAATATACTGTTTACTGCACAATAATATACTGTTTATTGCACAATAATTATATACTGTTTACTGCGCAATAATTATATACTGTTTACTGCACAATAATTATATACTGTTTATTGCACAATAATTATATACTGTAATTATATACTGTTTACTGGACAATAATTATATACTGTTTCACAATAATTATATACTGTTTACTGCGCAATGATTATAAACTTTTTACTGCACAATAATTATATACTGTTTACTGCATTACTGCACAATAATTATATACTGTTTTCTGCACAGTAATTATAAACTGTTTACTGTTCAATAATTATATGATGTTTATTGCACAATAATTATATACTGTTTACTGCAAATAATTATATACTGTTTATTGCGCAATAATTACATGATGTTTATTGCAATAATTATATACTGTTTACTGCACAATAATTATATGATGTTTATTGCACAATAATTATATACTGTTTACTGCGCAATGATTATATACTGTTTACTGCACAATAATTATATACTGTTTACTGCACAATAATTATATACTGTTTACTGCACAATAATTATATACTGTTTACTGCACAATAATTATATACTGTTTACTGCACAATAATTATATACTGTTTACTGCACAATAATTATACACAATATTAATATACTGTTTACTGCACAATAATTATATATTGTTTACTGCACAATATTTATATACTGTTTACTTCACAATAATTAAATGATGTTTATTGCAAAATAATTATATATTGTTTACTGCACAATAATCATATGATGTTTATTGCACAACAATTATATACTGTTTACTGCACAACGTACATTTTTCAATTAGTGTTATAAATTCTGTGCATACCTTAATTATACTGTGCCATAATGTAAACTGTAATTACTGAACATATACTGTAAATGCTATATACATATTCTGAAAATTCTGTACATACTGTACATTTACTGAAAATTCTGCACATACTGAAATAAATTAGAAACTCTGTGGTAGCAAACATATTCGGGAAATTCTGTTACACACTGTACAAATACTGGAAATTTTGTACATACTATGGTATTGTACACTGTACATATTCTGGAAATGCTGTACATACTTTGATATTGTGAATATAAAGGAAATTCTGTACATATTATAGTATTGTACATCTATTTGAGATTCTGTACATACTATGGTATTGTACATATCCTGGTAATACTGTACACACTATGGTATTGTACATATAGTGAAAATTCTGCAAATACTATGGTATTGTACATATACTGGAAATGCTGTCCATACTATGGTATTGTGAATATCCTGTTAATGCTGTACATACTATGGTATTGTACATATCCTGTTAATGCTGTACATACTATGGTATTGTGCATATCCTGTTAATGCTGTACATACTATGGTATTGTACATATCCTGGAAATACTGTACAAACTATGGTATTGTACATATCTTTTAAACTCGGTACATTCTATGGTATTGTACATATACTGGAAATACTGTACATACTATGGCATTGTACATTTTCTTTAAGTTCGGTACATACTATGGTATTGTACATATACTGGAAATTCTGTACAAACTATGGTATTGTACATATCCTGCAAGTTCTGTACATACTATGGTATTGTACATACCTGTATGTTTTCTTGTTCAAGATGAATTGGATTCCCTTTACCCCAGGTCAGGATAATCACATTCCTCTCTACTATTAAATATCCACACTCTAAACAAGAATAATGACAACAATAATCAGGGGCGTATTCAGGAATTTGTCCAGGGGGGATCCATTTTAATATTACAATCATTATTTTGTCAGGAATGGTTTAAAAAAGCCCCCCCCCCTCGCTTTTTTTAAAGGGACTGTAAGCGTTATTTAATTCACCCTCCATTTGAAAAGTCACAAATATCCAATTTACAACGGTACCCGTGAAACCTTAATATGATCAAAAATGTCGAAAATACTGTCGTTTTTTTACTCAAAAAGTTTTAAGTAAATTTCTCTGTTGATTCTTGTCAGCAAGAAATGGATCAATCACTTTGTAGCGAAAGCAAAAATGAAACTAAACAGTTTAAATAACCAAAAAGTCATACTGATCAGACATAGAGCTTTTAAAGGTACTTAAATCATTAATAAAATATTTTTATATAATTTATATGTCACCGTGAAAATCTAAATTCACCATCAATTTTTAAAAAATGAGCAATTACAAAAAAAAATTATTTTTGTTTTGGCAAATCTACCTAGCTTCAATAAATGAAAACTTTCACTAGGACATAGGAAATAAATAAAGCCATATTCAAATCAAAATAGAAATTTCAACATTTCTAAATTGACTTTACAATGAAAAGTGTTAAAACATAACAGGATATTTTTACATATATTGTAAACATACAGGGTAGTAATATGAGGAACGAAAAAAAATTATAATTCTTTTTTAATAAAAACTGCTAAAAACTAACCTGGGTTGTTTGTTAAAGGACCCACCGAGTTGTTAGATATAATCATGCATCTGGTATCAACCTAATAANTTGACTCTTGCCAAAAATTGCCCTTCTCAGTTTTTTCTGAAAAGCATCAAAAATGATTTTTGACCTGAAATATTAAGAATTTCTTTCTTCTTGTTTTAAAACCAATGAGGAAATGTTTGTGGAGTTAAATCCATCTGAAAAGCACAGGGAAAAACAATGCTTCCTAATTCTTAGCTTATGAAGTCATAATTTGACTGGGAAGTTAATATTTTCTTTAAAAAAAGTGATTAAGGCATCAAATTTGATTGCTCCTTGCTTATGATGCTTTCAAATGTTGATTATGATGCTTTCAAATTACACTTTGGATGCTTTACTACACGGTCAAAGCATCAAAAGTGTTGAAATTGAAAGACAAGTCACTTTACATGAAACAAAGCAAATATTCAAACTCAGAAAGCTAAACAAAGTTTTAAACAAGGATCAATTTTACTAACTGAACATAAATATAATTATGAATGAATTTCAAGGAGGTAAGACGCGTATAAGAGTCATTACTAATTTCTATGTTGCTTGAATGAACCAACATTTTTGTTTGAATTTACATTTCCATCATAACCATATTCAGGCTGACGTCTGGTTTACCCAAAATTGTAACATTTCATACATTTTTGGGAAAGCCCTTGGGCTCCACTTTAATAATCTGAAAACATATGTCTACTTTAACCTGTTCTGCGTCCCCTGTCTCGTCCTCTCTTTTCTATGTCCCCTGTCTCCTCCTACCTGTTCTGTGTCTCCTTTCCCTTCCTACCTGTTCCGTGTCCCACGTCCCCTCCTACCTGTTCTGTGTCTTCTGTCCCCTCCAACCTGTTCTGTGTCTCCTTTCCCCTCCTACCTGTTCTGTGTCTCCTGTCCCCTCCTACCTGTTCTGTGTCCCCTGTCCCCTCCTACCTGTTCTGTATCCCATGTCCCCTCCTACCTATTCTGTGTCCCCTGTCCCCTCATACTTGTTTCGTGTCTCCTGTCCCCTCCTACCTGTTCTGTGTCTCCTGTCCCCTCCTACCTGTTCTGTGTCTCCTGTCCCCTCCTACCTGTTCTGTGTCCCCTGTCCCCTCCTACCTGTTCCATGTCCCCTTCTACCTGTTCTGTGTCTCCTGTCCCCTCATACCTGTTCTGTGGCTCCTGTCCCCTCCTACCTGTTCTGTGTCCCCTGTCTCGACCTCCTTGAATGCTTGTGACAGGTTTGAAAGGAAAGAATCAGATTGTATCTGCCGACTTGTCTTTCTCTTCTCACGGACAGGAACCTTCAGCATCATCCCCACCTGGAGCTCAGCCTCCTCGTCAACCGTCTCCTGGAGTTATGTCATTAAGATCAGGATCAAGATCAGGATCAAGATCAGGATCAAGATCAGGATCAAGATCAGGATCAAGATCAGGATCAAGATCAGGATCAAGATCAGGATCAAGATCAGGATCAAGATCAGGATCAAGATCAGGATCAAGATCAGGATCAAGATCAGGATCAAGATCAGGATCAAGATCAGGATCAAGATCAGGATCAAGATCAGGATCAAGATCAGGATCAAGATCAGGATCAAGATCAGGATCAAGATCAGGATCAAGATCAGGATCAAGATCAGGATCAAGATCAGGATCAAGATCAGGATCAAGATCAGGATCAAGATCAGGATCAAGATCAGGATCAAGATCAGGATCAAGATCAGGATCAAGATCAGGATCAAGATCAGGATCAAGATCAGGATCAAGATCAGGATCAAGATCAGGATCAAGATCAGGATCAAGATCAGGATCAAGATCAGGATCAAGATCAGGATCAAGATCAGGATCAAGATCAGGATCAAGATCAGGATCAAGATCAGGATCAAGATCAGGATCAAGATCAGGATCAAGATCAGGATCAAGATCAGGATCAAGATCAGGATCAAGATCAGGATCAAGATCAGGATCAAGATCAGGATCAAGATCAGGATCAAGATCAGGATCAAGATCAGGATCAAGATCAGGATCAAGATCAGGATCAAGATCAGGATCAAGATCAGGATCAAGATCAGGATCAAGATCAGGATCAAGATCAGGATCAAGATNCTCCCCCGTTTCACACCCTCAAATACAACCCTTACCATTCTTGAATAGATTTTGGTATTCGACCCCTTGAATACATTTTGGTATACGACCCCTTGACAATATTTTGGTATACGACCCCTTGAACATATTTTGGTGTACGACCCCTTGAAAAAATGTTGGTATACGACTCCTTGAAAACATTTTGGTATACGACCCCTTGAAAACATTTTGGTATACGACCCCTCGAAAACTATTTTGGTATTTGTCCCCTTGAAACTATTTTTGTATTCGACCCCTTGAAAATATTTTGGTATACGACCCCATGAAAACTATTTTGGTATTCGACCCCTTGAAACTGTTTTGGTATTCGACCCCTTGAAACTATTTTGGTATTCGACCCCTTGAATATATTTTGGTATACGATCCTTTTTATATTTTGTGCACGATCATTTGAATAAATTTTTGTGCACGATCATTTGAATATATTTTTGTGCACGATCCTTGAATATATTTTTGTGCACGATCCTTGAATATATTTTAAAGATCAGGATCAAGATCAGGATCAAGATCAGGATCAAGATCAGGATCAAGATCAGGATCTGGGTCTTTACTAGACACTGAGAACCAGAAAACTTTGGAATAGAAAGACGACATTAAAGCAATCATTAACTTTAGTTGCTGTTGTTTACAAAGCAAATAGTTTTACTCGTAACTTATTATATCACTAATTCAACGAAATGGGACTGTTTAGACTGACCAATTGTAATGGACTATTTAAAGTCATAACTTGAGTTGTATTCCATTTCCAAAGTTTCTAATTTTCGTAGAGATCAAAACTATTTTTGCGTCCCCCTTTACGATTTGAACGCCCTGTACTCAAATTTCGAAAGAAAAAAGCTTTTATATGGCAGCAAAAGTCGCTTATATCCTAAAACAAATCGATTATTTGGCAGTCCTGACAAATAAGCAATTTTTTGTTGAATATAAGCGATTATTTGTCACCTGTTTGGCAGCCATCCAATTTTTGCTGCCATATAAGCGATTTTTTTGATTTCAAAATTTAGCTTTAACATTACTTATCTATAATATACTGCCTTATTTGAACCTCCCCATCTCAACAATTTGACCCCCCCGAACATAAATATAATTATNTTATTATTATTATTATTATTATTATTATTATTATTATTATTATTATTATTATTATTATTATTATTATTATTATTATTATTATTATTATTATTATTATTATTATTATTATTATTATTATTATTATTATTATTATTATTATTATTATTATTATTATTATTATTATTATTATTATTATTATTATTATTATTATTATTATTATTATTATTATTATTATTATTATTATTATTATTATTATTATTATTATTATTATTATTATTATTATTATTATTATTATTATTATTATTATTATTATTATTATTATTATTATTATTATTATTATTATTATTATTATTATTATTATTATTATTATTATTATTATTATTATTATTATTATTATTATTATTATTATTATTATTATTATTATTATTATTATTATTATTATTATTATTATTATTATTATTATTATTATTATTATTATTATTATTATTATTATTATTATTATTATTATTATTATTATTATTATTATTATTATTATTATTATTATTATTATTATTATTATTATTATTATTATTATTATTATTATTATTATTATTATTATTATTATTATTATTATTATTATTATTATTATTATTATTATTATTATTATTATTATTATTATTATTATTATTATTATTATTATTATTATTATTATTATTATTATTATTATTATTATTATTATTATTATTATTATTATTATTATTATTATTATTATTATTATTATTATTATTATTATTATTATTATTATTATTATTATTATTATTATTATTATTATTATTATTATTATTATTATTATTATTATTATTATTATTATTAACCTACCAACAGCATTGACCCCGCTAACAGCTGCGGAACCAACAACCTCTCCAGTTTTCACAACACCACTTCCCACTGCAGCAACACCTTGACATTTTCATCAACATTAACAACATCAACATAAACAACACCAACATAAACACATCAACAACATCAACATCACCATAAACAACATCAACATAAACAACATAAACATCAACAACATCAGCATAAACAACATCAACAACATCAACATCAACAACATCAACATCAACAACATAAACAGCATCAACATCAACAACTTCAGCATTATCAACAAGATCAACAACATAGACAAGATTAATAAGATTTAATTTTTGTTTGTTTGTTAATATCCCTCTAAATAAATCTGTAGATATTGCAATCATATCTCATTTAGATCTCTTTGAAAAATATTAAAAATGACAGATAATAGATACAATATAACAAAAGGTATATTGTTGCATAATTTTGAGAAAAAATCTAATTTATTCACTACAATAAATCCAAATTCAATCTATTTACTAAATTTGAGTGTTTTTACAAAAATTTAATTCAGTATTAGGTTTAATGTATCAGTTTTAAACTCAAACATAAATCCATCTTATCAATGGTTTACTACATTTGTCTGAGAGAGAATTGCAAAAGTTTTAACATGCATTTTTTTTGCAGCGTTGATAGATTTGTATTAGTATTTAAGTAAAGTATACGTACTTCTCTTGCCTCGAGTAAGTTTGTATTAGTATAGAAGTAAGTACGCACTTCTCTTGCCTCGAGTAAGTTTGTATTAGTATAGAAGTAAACTATGCACTTCTCTTGCCACGAGTAAGTTTGTATTAGTATAGAAGTAAACTACGCACTTCTCTTGCCTCGAGTAAGTTTGTATTAGTATAGAAGTAAACTATGCACTTCTCTTGCCTCGAGTAAGTTTGTATTAGTATAGAAGTAAACTACGCACTTCTCTTGCCTCGAGTAAGTTTGTATTAGTATAGAAGTAAACTACGCACTTCTCTTGCCTCGAGTAAGTTTGTATTAGTATAGAAGTAAAGTACGCACTTCTCTTGCCTCGAGTAAGTTTGTATTAGTATAGAAGTAAAGTACGCACTTCTCTTGCCTCGAGTAAGTTTGTATTAGTATAGAAGTAAACTACGCACTTCTCTTGCCTCGAGTAAGTTTGTATTTGTATAGAAGAAAACTACGCACTTCTTTTGCCTCGAGTAAGTTTGTATTAGTATAGAAGTAAACTACGCACTTCTCTTGCCACGAGTAAGTTTGTATTAGTATAGAAGTAAACTATGCACTTCTCTTGCCACGAGAAAGTTTGTATTAGTATAGAAGTAAACTACGCACTTTTCTCGCCACGAGTAAGTTTATATTAGTATAGAAGTAAACTACGCACTTATCTCGCCACGAGTAAGTTTGTATTAGTATAGAAGTAAACTACGCAGTACGCACTTCTCTCGCTACGAGTAAGTTTGTATTAGTATAGAAGTAAACTACGCATTTTACGCACTTCTCTTGCCACAAGTAAATTTGTATTAGTATAGAAGTAAACTACGCAGTACGCACTTATCTCGCCACGAGTAAGTTTGTATAAGTATAGAAGTAAACTACGCAGTACGCACTTATCTCGCCACAAGTAAGTTTGTATTAGTATAGAAGTAAACTACGCAGTACGCACTTATCTCACCACAAGTAAGTTTGTATTAGTATAAAAGTAAACTACGCACTTATCTCGCCACGAGTAAGTTTGTATTAGTATAGAAGTAAACTACGCACTTATCTCGCCACGAGTAAGTTTGTATTAGTATAGAAGTAAACTACGCACTTATCTCGCCACGAGTAAGTTTGTATTAGTATTTAAGTAAAATATACGCACTTCTCTTGCCTCGAGTAAGTTTGTATTAGTATAGAAGTAAACTACGCACTTATCTCGCCACGAGTAAGTTTGTATTAGTATAGATGTAAACTACGCAGTACGCACTTCTCTCGCCACGAGTAAGAAAACTGTTTGCTCAGCAGTTGCTTTTGTTCCAATATATTCTGGCACTAGGGTTTCCAACTCTCTCATATTTTATTCGAGTCAATTGTCAGAATTTATCTTACTCTGTCTTCGTAGCCAAGACATTTTTATTTGTTTGCACATTTCTTGTCAGATTTTGAAGCATTAAAGGGACTGTACACGTAATCTAAAGTGATCCTGTATATTGAACGAGTTTTAAGTACAACGGTAACCTTAGTTCGAAAAGGAAGATTTTTGTGGGCGGTTTTATATTACTATTTTAGATGGAAAAACGAGGATATCTTCTTCACTGATACTCAGATATTGGTTTAAACAATACATATTGTGATTCGGGTATGTACGTACAGGGTGTCTCAATAAACATAGGCATTGAGAGTCGACTTGACTATCGTCTTTGATTTCCAATAATTTATAAATAACATGAAACACATCAAAAAAAGATTAAAGTCTAAGTTAAGTGTGATAATACTATATTATGTTTACGAAATAATCCCGCATAGAACAAGATGATAAAGAAGTTGTCATTTAATTCCAATGTTTACGAGACACCCTGTAACAAAGCAATGGAAATCTATGTAGAGCTTACCAGATCCCACAGTTTCTGCAGCGCTGACAACTCCTGATCCTACAGACTCCGCTGCGCTGACAACTCCAGATCCTACGGTTTCGGCAGCGCTGACAACTCCTGATCCTACAGCCTGGGTACCTTTAACCATTCCTGATCCTACAGCCTGGGTTCCTTTAACCATCCCAGACCCAACAGCCTGGCGTCAATCAAAATCTGTTAAAGCAGGAAGCAAGTCGAGAAATAGGAACATATCGTTCAGAGGTGAACACGGGGGGGGAGTAGTAAAGATGGACATTTTCGACTTTATTTTTTCGTTCGTTCATCGTTCGTGAACGACCCATTTCGTTCCTTTCTTCAATCGTTCAAAAAATGATTTTGTTCGTTCTCAAATTATCGTTTTCCATCTATTTTGTTCGTTTTCTCCCTAAACAATTGTTCAGTAAAAAACGATAGATTTTTCCAAATCTTCTCGAAAATTCGTTCGTTCAGAAAAACGATCATATTTTAAGCTCGTTCAAGCAATTTAAAATTGGTCGCGTTTTTTTAGTTCTTTTTTTTGCTTCTGAACGACACCCTTTCCAGGAAAAATTTAGCTTGTTCTCGAAATTTCGTTCATTCAAAAAAAAATTGCCCATCCCAAGAGATGTGGAGGCTCAGTCCTTCCCTCCTTGATCAGTAATACCTATATGAGTTAATGGCTGGTGCTGAGCTGAGCCCTTGGGGGAAAAAAATATTCAAATTTAATTTTTTAAATCAAAAAATTTCCAGATTGAAAGAGTTCTTATGTTGCAGTTTTATTTTGTCGAACTGAATGGAGTATACTTTTAAAGATTTAGTTCCTTAGTTGCTGAGCCAACCATTTGCACCCCTCCCCCAACCGCTTTCCCGATTGCGCCGAATGGTGTCCAGGAAACACTATTTTTCCGTTTAGCTGTTTTGTCATCTCTATACAGATAAATCATCTAGGTGAATAACTGTTGGAACGGAGGGACTGTCATCGTAATTTCATTGTTTTAACATTGATAGATTTGGGGACTTTAGTAGGGAAGAAACTTTCAGAATATGTAGATCTTCAAAGGGAGTGTCTGGCTAGAAATGGTAGTTGAGCTGAGAATGCAGTTTTGTAGATCTTTAAAGGGAGTGTCTGGCTAGACATGGTAGTTGAGTTGAGAATGCAGTTTTGTAGAGAAAAATTTAGGATTCATTTGAGACCTATCAGACGTTTTTACGGTGCATAACTTTTCAGTAAGAGCGATAATTCAATTTTTAATCCTGAATTGTCCATTCTGGAGGGATGGTTTTGAGAATCAGTTTTTATAAAGTATTTAATGATGACCACGAAAAAAGTAAAAAAATCTTCAGTAAACTAATTAGTCTCTGATAAGTCTCAAATTAATCCTAGATTTTTTTTCTTCAATACTTCATTCTTAGCTCGACTGCTATGTGTATAGCCAGACACCTCTATTAAAAAGAAGATGGAAGGTTTAGAGAAAAATTAATATTTAATCTGAGATTTCTTTTTGGCGTAAAAGGTGGCATTTAAAAAGAAAGGGGAGGGGGGGGAGGATGTTTGGAAAAAGGGGGTTTAGCGGTAAATAGAGGGGGTGGTGAATGGAGAGGGGAGATGTATTCTAGATATTATTTATCCCTGTCAGTTACTCCTGAACTTGTTTTCTGTTTGACCTGTAAAGCAGCAGCAAGATTACAGAAATGTGGGGAAAGGGATTAGAGATTATTATTCTAAGAAATTTTCTAAAGAAAACTATATTTGTATCATTAAAGGGACCGTAAAGGAAAAATGAAAGAGGGTGTAGACTGAAACCTGAGCATCTCAGGAGTTGAACGATTCCTAATAGACATCTATCTGATGTTCCTGTTTCGAGAAATTGATATAAAACTGTGTCAAATTTATACGAAAATTCATAAATATGCAATTTTGTATAAAAGTTGTAACATTAAACAGATCAAATTCAACAAATACGCAATCAATCTGAAAACGGCGATATCCCACAGGAGCCTAAGAATCTCAGGTTTGTTGGTCACGTGATTTCCGTCTGTATCATGTGATAACGATAATGCAACTGCCATTGACTGAAGTTCTGGTGACGTAATACGCACTATACGGGCTATAAGTAATTATATTATCAATTATATATATTAAAAATGCAAAATAAAACAAAAATTATAATAGGAGCAAACCTTAGGTTTAGGAAGGGAGTTGGCATGCGCAACCTCTACATAGTACATACAAACTCAGGTTTAGGAAGAGAGTTAGTTTGATTCGCCTACCTACAAACTCAGGGTTAGGAAGGGAGTTGGCATGCTCCACCTACCTACAAACTCAGGGTTAGGAAGGGAGTTGGCATGCTCCACCTACCTACAAACTCAGGGTTAGGAAGGGAGTTGGCATGCTCCAAGGATCCTCTTTTTCCATCCTTTCGCCTGCTATCATCACTACTAAAATATAAAAAAAAATCATTATGAAACCTTGCACGAATCTTTTTTAGCAAAATGGCCAACAGTTTGCTTGCACAATTCGACTTTTATTTATTTTTATCGTTTATAAGAATCTTTCTATGGAATATAATAAATAATAAAATATATTTGGAAATTAATTTTATTTTAAGAGGAAAAAAACCCAACATATTTTGAAATCCACACATTTTATGAAACCTAAAATAGTATGGGCCTTGTTGAAGAAAAAGAGAACCTAGAATAGGATGGGTCTAGTTGGATGGAGAACCTAGAATAGGATGGGTTTAGTTGGATGGAGAAGAGAACCTAGAATATGATGGGTCTGGTTGGATGGATAAGATAACCTAGAATAGGATGGGTCTGGTTGGTTGGATAAGTAAACCTAGAATAGGATGGGTCTGGTTGGATGGATAAGAGAACCTAGAATAGGATGGGTCTGGTTGGTTGGATAAGAGAACCTAGAATTGGATGGGTCTGGTTGGATGGATAAGAGAACCTAGAATAGGATGGGTCCGGTTGGTTGGATAAGAGAACCAGAATTGGATGGGTCTGGTTGGTTGGATAAGAGAACCAGAATTGGATGGGTCTGGTTGGTTGAATAAGAGAACCAGAATTGGATGGGTCTGGTTGGTTGGATAAGAGAACCATAATTGGATGGGTCTGGTTGGTTGAATAAGAGAACCAGAATTGGATGGGTCTGGTTGGTTGGATAAGAGAACCAGAATTGGATGGGTCTGGTTGGATGGATAAGAGAACCTAGAATAGGATGGGTCTGGTTGGATGGATAAGAGAACCAGAATTGGATGGGTCTGGTTGGTTGGATAAGAGAACCAGAATTGGATGGGTCTGGTTGGATGGATAAGAGAACCAGAATAGGATGGGCCTGGTTGGATGGATAAGAGAACCAGAATTGGATGGGTCTGGTTGGTTGGATAAGAGAACCTAGAATAAGATGGGTCTGGTTGGATGGATAAGAGAACCTAGAATAGGATGGGTCTGGTTGGATGGATAAGAGAACCTAGAATAGGATGGGTCTGGTTGGATGGATAAGAGAACCTAGGATAGGATGGGTCTGGTTGGATGGATAAGAGAAGATATGAAACTGTATTTTCTCATGACATCAACTGATTTATTAGCAAGCAGAACACAGGAGAGAATTACAGCTAGAACAAAATATAGAATATAGAAGGGAAGGACGGGGGGGGGGTTACCTACTCCTCTTTCCCTTCCTCTATGGGGGTAGAAAGGAGGGAAGGAGGATTAAACTAACATTATTCTAGGAGGAGAGGGAAGGAGGATTAAACTAACCTTCTTTTAGGAGGAGAGGGAAGGAGGATTAAACTAACCTTCTTTTCGGAGTAGAGGGAAGGAGGATTAAACTAACCTTCTTTTAGGAGTAGAGGGAAGGAGGATTCTAGGAGGAGAGGGAAGGAGGATTAAACTAACCTTGTGGAAGAATCCTCCCTCTCTTGAGTTCTATCGGAGTCACTGTCATTAGAGAGTCCCTGAAATCAAAATATTTAAATTAATTTTGTTTGAACATTTTTTAGTTTTTTTTTAACACCTAACAGAAAACATTCCACATTAAATTGACAGTTTAATAAGAACTATGCTATATTTCTTCTGTTAAATAATCTATAAGAGCTTTTAAGATCTCTATGAACTATGCAATTTACCGTGCTGTAAAATGTTACTAATTAACATTTTCACAAACCAAGGGACTGTAAGCGTAATTCCAAGCGACCCTAAATACAAAGATGGCAATTTTTAATTCATAACGATACACTTGAAATCTTTATCTCATCAATAATGTGGAAGATATTGTTGACATGTGTTTAATTCTGATAATTCCCACATGTTTTTCTGCACCAAAAATGTGCAAGTCAGTTTTCTAGAGAACCTGCAATTGTAAACAGTCCGTTTTCAAAATCATGAACAATCTGATTCATACTTTAACAAACAAAGGGTACGGTTGTGAATCGGGCTTTGTCATCTTTATATGAAGGTTCAGATGAATTAATGCTTATAGTCACTTTAAACACTAATCAGAAATGAGAACAAACTTGGTGCATAGGCTTGTGAGGGAAAAGTTGAATTATCTTTTTTATTGTTGTCACAAATACTTAAACAATACTTTTACATTTTGCAGTGACAGTCACTTTAATGAATTCTGAGTATGATTTCAACCTGTAAATAGTATCTAGAAATCTGTAAATAGTATCTAGAAATCTGTAAATAGTATCTAGAAATCTGTAAATAGTATCTAGAAATCTGTAAATAGGATCTAGAAATCTCTAAATAGGATCTAGAAATCTGTAAATAGTATCTAGAAATGTTATATAAACTATTCATATTCTATAATCTATGAATAGATCTATGTAGATCTATGGACCTATATAAATCTATGAATCTATCTTTATAGTCCTATCTATATAATAATGCTCGTCACTCATACATAAATATGTCAGCTATTATAGCCAGCCAAACGGCTGGACCGAATGGGCTACATTATTTTGCTGGAACCTTTAAATACCCTCGGGGAAAAATAAGCTTAAAAAAGAAAAAAATTCTTCAAAAATCTTTTTTTTCAAAATCAAATTTTTTTTTAAAAATTCGATTTTTAAAAATTCAACGAGCAACGCCGGGCACTTGCTACTCAATTATAATGAAAAGAAATATTTTATAAAAATCAGATGCCGAATTTAAAGAATTTGAGCCGCGGTTTAAATCTAAGCCACGGCTCAAGTTTTGTTGGTTCCACTAAGATTTAAGCCGGCGCTCAATTGAAACCGGTTATGGGGGGATTTGAGACACGACTTAAATTCATTAAATGCGGACACAGGTTGCCTTAAATTAAAAGAATAAGTTAATACATCTACAGACTCTCTGTTGAATTTATGTCCTATGGAAGTAAAAAATGTTCATTAATCAAATAAATCTAATTAATTCACTTTAAAGTTTTGTGGCGTGTTTGAAATTCCAAGCTCTAATTTTATTACAGCTGGAAACTATAAACTTCAGTTTAAGGCGCCTCATAGTTTATATCTTTCCTAAATTGTTTCCGAAACTAAACTAAACTTCATCTTAGAACCATACAAACACATAGTAAAGAACAATCTTCTTTTATAGAGGGGTCACTTTCTTGTTAAGCAACCAAAATACAATAAGTATCTAGTTTTACTTTACTAAAAAAGAAGTGTCAAGTGTTAATTTACTAAAAATAGGTGTCAAGTATTAATTTACTACAAAAGAAGTGTCGTGTTAATTTACTAAAAAAGAAGTGTCAAGTGTTAGTTTAAAAAAAAAAGAATTGTCAAGAGTGAATTCACTAAAAAAGAATCATTATTAATTTACTAAAAAAGAAGTGTCAAGTTTTAATTTACTAAAAAGGAAGAGTCAAGAGTTAATTTACTTTAAAAAGAACTGTCAAGAGTGAATTTATTAAAATAGTAAATAAACACTTGACTCTTCTTTTTTCGTAAATTAATCCTTGACCCCTCTTTATTCGTAAATTAACACTTGACACTTTTTTTTAGTAAATCAACGTTTGACACTCATCTTTAAAGTAAATTAACACTTGACACTTCTTTTTTAGTAAATTAACACGTGACACTTCTTTTTCGTAAATAAACACTTGACACTAAAAAAGAAGTGTCAAGGGCTAATTTACGAAAAATGACCTTCCCTGGTTAGGCGGGTCCAACCTGCACAGTAAATTGTTACTGCTTATTTGTGATATTTTATGCTTTGTAGTTCAATAAGATTATGATATAAAATATGGTTAAATAGAAGTGTAAAGGGTCAACTTGCTTTAAAACGAAGCATTAAAGCTAGGCCGTGTTAGTTTCCTTGAAAAGGGATTCTCATTGGTCAATTTTCTGAAAAAGAAAGTGTGAAAGGTTAACTCCCTAAAACTACTTATTTTTATGAAATATTTTATTATTATATCGACATAGAAATCAATGGAAAAGCATTTCATAAAATGTCAACATCTAATTGCAGTAATTTTTGTAAAGGTTAAGAGCCAAAGGAACTGAATCTGGCATTAAACTCAAGTTTTTTAATCCTGATATCTTTGAAGCCTGTTTTCGTTTTCGAAGACCTTTGAAAGGAATAGAGCAATTGTCACAAACACTTATATTCTAATCCTTTTATCTTTGCAACCTAATAATGTAAAACATTGAAATTTTAAACATAGATTAGAATTCATAGTTTTAAGTTTATATGGTAATGACATCAGGTTGCATAGATATAGGAATTATAAATCATAGGTTGTGGCAAGGACTCAATTCTTTTGAAACTAAGAATCAGATCAGGCAAGTACATAGTTTACAAAAGATAAAAACCGATTTTTCATGCACAAATTGTATTTTAGTCACATATAACACTAAAAATACTCATTTCATGCTACGTTCTTTTAGGGTACTATCAAATGAGTAGGGGGGGGGGGAGAAGAAGGGAGGTTGAATTATATATTTTTGAATTAACATATTGTATGTAAACCTTATGCTTGCTTCCCCTGGATACAACAAATACATTGCAAGCATGCAACTTAGTATATTATTAAATATTACTAGTTTTCTTATTGTGTATTATTCAAAATAATTGATCTAATTGACATGTATTCAGAATATATTGGTTTTCTTTATATTTCTTGGCACTTTGCCTTGGCTCAACAAGAAAACAATATTAGGGAAAATTTTTAATTTTAGGACAGTTCATGAATCATGAGCACTATCGACATCTAGGAAAAGTGGAATGAACCAATCTTCATTTTCTTTACGCATGTTAAAGACAACAACAAACATTCAACAAACAGCTTGTTTACAAAATGTAGTTTTATCGAATTTTATCGTCTTATGAGATGTAAATGCGCGAACTTTTTCATAATAACTTCCCTGACCTGGTAGTTTTCTACTTAATTGTCCCATGGGATGTTAAGAAACTTAACCTTCCTGTTAAGGGAATCATGGGTCGGTAATGTTGGTCCGAAGGGGTACAACAACATTTAACCGTTTAGACTTTTTCTCGATTGGAATATCATTTTTATGGTGGAATATAAATGTTAAGATGTCTTTTAGTTCGACCTAAAACAAACATGTAAGAAATTGTACATGACACAAATCAGCCGAACTAACTGGTAAAAGAAGAACAATTGAAAATGGTTTGTTTTCCTATGGACAGAGAAATATCATAAATTTATTTGGTTTCTGGCTGAACAGGATTGTAGTCGTGACTTTAAGAGACTTGAAGAGTGGGTAGTCCATTTTAAAATTGTAGCCTTAAAAGCTTTGTCTAACTAGACATAAATGAGATTTTCATGTTTAGTTCTTTAAAATTTCCGTATTCATTATTTACAAGGCCTGATTTTTTTTAAATATTTTTAAATACAAACCAATAAATAATCGCGATAATAGAACTACACAGGTATTTATAAATCCAGATATAAGGTATCTGGTGAAATAATATTGATTTTAAAAAATATGAGATAATTAAATATTAATTTCTTATAGATGTTTATAATCAATTTCAAAACAGTTTCAATAAATGTGATTTTGGACCTCTTAAAGGCCTTTGACGCCAGGATAATTTATATCTAAGTTAAAAAGATCATCTTTTCTCATTTAAAGGAGTTAAGTCTTTGCCACAAATTCAATTCTTTAATTCATTTATCTTTGGAACCAGATGATGTAAACCATTGATATTTCAAAATTTGATTATTTGATCTTACAGCATTCATAGTTGGAAATATCAAAGGTCTACGACATTGTGTTGCAAAGATATTGAGATTAGAAAGCAAGATTTTGTGGCAAAAACTCAATTCCTTTGTAAAATGATTAAAAACTAAATTTCTGAGTAATGATTTATAAAATGTATTCTATCGACCATTCAGGTGTTGAAATGAATTCATAAAATTATCAAACATTTGATCTAAACTTGGNGAGTAACACGTGAGCATTAATTAATACACCTTACAACATAAACATAAACCTTTGACCTTTATCTGATAGAGTTTAGTTTTTATTAGAGTAACACGTGAGCATTAATTAATACACCTTACAACATAAACATAAACCTTTGACCTTTATCTGATGGATTTTAGTTTTTATTAGAGTAACACGTGAGCATTAATTAATACACCTTACAACATAAACATAAACCTTTGACCTTTATCTGATAGAGTTTAGTTTTTATTATATGCTTTCAACAGAATGGTCTATAATCCTATCCAACATACCAGTAAGAATATTAACAATAAATTTGAGAACTCAAAATCAGTTTTGGAGCGATTGAAAAAACGAACTAAATGGGTCGTTACTGGTACACAAATGATGAACAAACAAAATGAAAAAAGCTGAACACGCCCATCTCTAACAAATAGTAATCCCATGCTTCAACGGCATACATCTTGGTTAAATTATTTTTTAGGAATGGGTTTCTTTTGGCACATCTTAAACTTTTACGATAAAGAATTATCTATCATTTTGATACTGTGTAAACTGTTACTACCTTTTAAACAGATTTTGATTCTGTGTAAACTGCTACTATACCTTTTAAACAGATTTTGTAAACTGTGTAAACTGCTACTATCTTTTAAACAGATTTAGTAAACTGTAACTTTATTTAAACAGCATGATTTCAGCAGCTGGAAAATGCATTTCTAAAACTCCTTTTGCTAAAGTTGCAAATCTTATCCCATATTGTAAAATGGAAACCACAACAAGAAATAAACTAAAAGCATACAGATGTTCCAAAATTATTTGTTATTTGATTTATTTAAAGGGAATGGAAGAGGAAGCATGACTAGACCATTGAATACACCGTGAACTTAACACAGCGCACACTGGAAATCGCAGCCAAATACAAGCAGGCAAGGTAATAAGGCAAGAAAGTTTATTGCTGTTGCGTATTCTCTGCGTACATATTGACAGGCAAATTTTAAAAGGTCTAGATTTGAACTCACATTGGAACATTTCAGAGTGCAAACTCAAGCCTAACTTTTCAGTATTTTGAGTTTGTTAATACAGGGGTATATATTTTTAGAGTCACCTCCTCCCTTGCAAGGCATAATTGTTTTTTGAAGCTTTGAGAGGAAAGGAAAAATTTGAGATTTTTTTAGTTTATTGCCTTAAGATAATTATTCTTCCTCAAAAATAACTTCAAGTTTGTGTGTTGGAGTTTTGTGTGTGGGTGTGTGTGTTTGTTTGTATCAACAAGAGCTAATTCGGATCCTAGTGTGAATGCCAATAAGTATTCTACTCTCTCTCCCTCTGTAGGAAGGGAAGCAGCTTCAATAAAGAACAATTGCTTTTTCAAATAAATAATCAAAACCATAATATCCCTAAACATTTCTTCTTACATCATGTGGGATAAGTCAGATAGTCCTATGATAAGCCAGGTACCATTACAAGTGTGGTTGCTTTTTTCAAACACATTTAAATTTAACTCCAAGATATTTTAGATGGTTCAAGTTAAGCGGTGATGGAAATTGCCCCTTTGAGGCAAATAGACAAGTATTATTTATTTTTTGCCAGAAGTTCAGGGCAAATACAAATTTTAAATGGGTAGATGGGAGTGTTATTGTATATTTTCTTTTTAAACAATGATCTGCAACCCTCAACATTCGGTGTGTACTGCAGGGATTTGCAGTAATCTGATCGAAGAAATAGTAGTATTCAGTGGAGAGTGCTGAAGCTGATATCTTTAATGATTAAGAATCCTTTACAATTAATTAATTAATGAGAGTCATGCATGATTATCATAATTAATCAAAATTAGCCCGAAGGGAAATTGAAAAGGTAAAACTGACCAAGAACTATTAAAATTGATTTTTTTTTAAATCCAGAATGTTCCCAGTTATATCTCCTGCAATCTCCAATATAACAGAAAACAAGACCTATTCTGACTACAAACTAATAGAAAGAGAAAATCAACCTTCTCTCTGCCTTCACAATTAGAACTATTTGTAGACCATTGACCAGGTACAGAACTATCTGTAGACCAATGACCAGGTACAGAGCTATCTGTAGACCAATGACCAGGTACAGAGCTATCTGTAGACCAGTAAACAGGTACAGAACTATCTGTAGACCATTGACCAGGTACAGAACTATCTGTAGACCATTTACCAGGTACAGAACTATCTGTAGACCAGTGAACAGGTACAGAACTATCTGTAGACCATTGACCAGGTACATAACTATCTGTAGACCAGTGACCAGGTACAGATCTATCTGTAGACCAGTGACCAGGTACAGGACTATCTCTAGACCAGTGACTAGATACAGAACTATCTGTAGACCAGTGACCAGGTACAGAACTATCTGTAGACCAGTGACCAGGTACAGGACTATCTGTAGACCAGTGACCAGGTACAGAACTATTTGTAGACCAGTGACCAGGTACAGAAATATCTCTAGACCATTGACCAGGTACAGAACTATTTGTAGACCAATGACCAGGTACAGAGCTATCTGTAGACCAGTAAACAGGTACAGAACCATCTGTAGACCATTGACCAGGTACAGAACTATCTGTAGACCAGTGACCAGGTACTATTGAACTATCTGCAGTTTAAGGCAAATTACCATTATATGCGCAAATTCAAACTCAATTCTTCAAACCCCCCCCCCCTTTTTATAGAATGTTAACTAACAAACCTTTAAGAATCTTTTATACTTTCAATTTATAAATATTTGTTTAGTTTTGAGAAAATAATTTATTTCTAAACTAATTTCAACTAAATCATGTTGGCTGAACAATGTTAAACAATCTGATTACTTTGAATAGTTTAAGCTTTAAAACAGGAATGGTGCAGTACATTAATTCTGATCATTAATATTAGAACTAGTAGATAGGGTACATCAAGCCTTGCACAGTAGAAATAAGGAGAAGGAGTGTCAAGGGGGAGGGGGTCATGTAAAAACTTATAAAAGGACATTGTTTTTCAGCTTATGTTCAAAAGATCGAGAAAAATATGCGATTTTCTTTTCTAAAGAATAACGTTAGATTGGTCTGTGTACACAATTGCCTTGTTCTTATTATTTGGTTTAAAAAAAATCATAACTTGAGTCTAACAGTCGTCTTTTATTTCCAAAGTTTTCTGGGTTCCGCTGTATTAATGTCACCCATTAAAAGAGTTTGTGGATAAGTCAAGCAGTTCTCACAATGATAAGAACAAATAGGGTTTCCAGCGAACGAAAACTTTCGCGAAATTTCACATTTTTTCGCAAAAAAAATTTACGAAATGATATCGCAAAATTTCGCGAAATTTCGCATTAATCTGTAACGCGATACAAAAAAGCGTTTATTGGCAAAAAATGTAAAATTTACGCAAAACGATTTTCCATGCTTGCTCTGGAAATCCTATTCTTTGGATACCATAATAACACACAAAGAGTTATATCAAGTTGTTTGATGATCAAGATGCAGACTTCTCCTGGATCTAGGTTTGTCCAATCGGTTTTCACCCCAGGCAGTCCCATTTCCCCCTGGCTTATATACAAACTATAAATAGATAGAAAACTATTTATAAGATATAGGGTTCAATACACTAGTAGACTAATGGAACCCTACCAGACAAACCGATGTATGTGTGAGTATAATGTAGAAATCATGTAAAATCACTTTACTCCGAATGTGGTGCACGCCAGTTGTAAGTTTTTCACCATTACCTAGTTTAATTTTATGATTAATAGGGCTATAAGTGTAGTTTTAAGTGTCACTTACAATGGTACTCCAGAAAGATATGTCTGATCAGGTAAAAATTATATATCAATTCTTTATAATTTTGAAAACTGATTATTTTCAATTGTGGTTTCTTTACAACAGTGACTTGCAGCAGTAAAACATACAGGAATTATCAGAATTAAACACTTATGAAATAGAAAACAACAAGATCTTCCTGATAATTGATAAGATAATGGTACCTTTGCAAATGGGGCATTGCATGTAGGGTCAATTAAAATCACACTCAAGTACCTTTATGCATAGAAATCAATCATGCATCATTGTTTAATTTCTAGGTATACATTTACATTTATTTTTATGTTTCTAATACAAATGCTATACTATAACAACACTATCTATCAGATAAAAAGGTCTATTACACTGATACTAATGATACCCAGGACTACTACAGCAAAACTTACCAAAAACTTGGAAATATTCAGCATTTTTAATCTTTACTCCTGAATAGATAAGGATTACTTAATCGCAAAGATGTATATTAAGGTTAGATACTCTGAATTCACTCAAATTTAGGTTAATGTCGTCCTTATTGCAATGAAAACTCTGTATCCTCATCACTCTGGGCCGTAGTAAATTTGAATTCAAACAGGACCTGCCCAGTTTGTACCGGCGTGCCAGATAACAGCGTTGGCTGACCCGATATTCTGTACGGTACGTTGCCCTAACCAGACTAACATACGAAAGGGGTCAATTTTCTTGGCATAGTCCCGTCGGAGTGCTAACTATGACAACTTCCATGGCGCGTTCAGACTTTTTACAGTACCCGGCCTAATCCTAGGCTTATTTGACCGACCCCACTGGCTTAGTCCACCGTGTCATATGATAGCACTGATATTTAACTAACAATCATCACATTTATCAAATATTCATTGTGATAATTTAAGTTTAAAGCTAAAAAAATGCAATTATTTTTCAAGTTTTCAATTTTTGAGTTTGTTTACATCTATTGAGCCGTTAAATTTATTATTCTTTAAAATAAGCAGTGACGTCATATGAGGATTTAGAGTGTTCATTGCTAAAAAAGATCGTCTTTACCTACTTGGGAGCACATCCAGAGTATCACCCTTAATACGCAACCTTGCTAAGAATATACTAAAAACCAGTTGGAATTCATGAAGAGTTTAAAGAAGTTTCCAGAACCTTTGATGCAAAATTCGAATTGCATTTATTGTAAAGTTTTTGTGCATATTTCCTTTACACTTTAAAATTGAGGGACTTTAAACATATATTTTGACATCAACTGCAAATTATAAAGGTTTTGAAAGATTTTTTGGCAGAGCATGCCAAAACTTGATTAATGTCGTCCACCAATTTATTGTAAAAAATCACTATATTGTGGTCAATACCTCTTATTTACTCGACACAGTAATATTCTCTTGATTTAATAAAAAAAATGCTCATTTAAAAAAATGGCTGTAACCACAGTATCAATCAAATAAAAATGTTTTGCTGCAAAGAAAAATTCCTATCCTCAATACATTTTTATCTGTTAATTGATCATTAAACTCTAAAACGTGTAACATGTTTTTCATTCTCCATGAACTGGCTGAAACCACTTAAAACGTAGATTTTTCTTTGGGATCTTCTAGGAAATATTTTATTAATTAATCCAGAATATTTTAATTAAAAAGTTTTAAACTTTGTTTTCCGAACTACAAAAATAAAAATAAAAATTAGTTGAGAATTAAAGAGATGCTTAAAGGTGGTGTCGTCTTCAAACTATAATAGTGCAAAAATAAAAGAACATAATATTTTTTAAAGGGAATGTTACGATACTTCAAGGAAACCAACTTTAAAGGGACTGTTTACGATACTTCAAGTAACCCAACTTTAAAAGGACTGTTACGATACTTTAAGTAACCCAACTTTAAAGGGACTGGTTACGATACTTCAATTAACCCAACTTTAAAGGGACTGGTTACGATACTTCAAGTAACCCAACTTTAAAGAGACTGGTTAAGATATTTCAAGTAACCCAACTTAAAGGGACTGGTTACGATACTTCAAGTAACCCAACTTTAAAGGGACTGTTTACGATACTTCAAGTAACCCAACTTTAAAGGGACTGGTTACGATACTTCTAGTAACCCAACTTAAAGGGACTGGTTACGATACTTCAAGTAACCCAACTTAAAGGGACTGGTTACGATACTTCAAGTAACCCAACTTAAAGGGACTGGTTACGATACTTCAAGTAACCCAACTTTAAAGGGACTGGTTACGATACTTCAAGTAACGCACCACACAAAGTATTTCCAACGGTACCTCTAAACCTGTATCTGAGTAATACTATGAAAGATAATAAAGTATTGTTTTCTCTTGATAAATTAATTCTCACGACTTATTTATTGACTCTACAGCATAAATCTTAAAGTAACCTCTGCAGAGAAACCAAAATCGAAAAATATCAATTTTTATCCAGCAAAATCGCTATATATCATTAATTCTTTTCAGACAAAGGTTTAAAGGGTACCGAACTATAAATCAAACTACTTCTAAAATCTTTTAGTTAAAGGGGCTTTAAAACAATTTTGAAAAAGATTCCTTGCAAGAAATGATTATTTAACCTAATCAAAAACAATTCCAGTCTTTAAAAGATGACTGATCTAGAAACAGAAAACTAAAATTCTGTTTCTAGAAAGATGCTGACTGTTTATTTTTATATCTTAGTTGACAAACAAGTATTGTTAGTGTCAACAAAGGGAGAAAATTAATGGGACTGGGTAATTTCATGAAAAAAATAGGCCAACAAAAATCTTCCTCAACCCTCCACCGGATACTCAAGAATGCCCCATTTTTAAAAACCGCTTAAGGCAACAAAAATAGAAAATTTATAGGCTCACAATCTTACAAAGAGAACTTGTTCACAATTGAAATAGAAGATGGGCGAAAAGAGCCCTAAAAGTCTAAGAGCCCAAAATAAAATTCTTAATTGAAATGTAGAACGAAATATGGCAAGGAAAATGAAATTAACTCTCTCAGTTAAAAATTAAATGTCGACTTTATTAATGTTAGAGAGCTAATATTCCTGCAGTGCAAGAACGAAGAAAAGTTAGTTTAAAGTTTCTCCTGGAACTGTAGAAATATCACATTTGTTCACTCCTCGGACATTAATAGAGGAGAAAATATTTTTGAGAAAAATCTAGCTCTTTTTTTGCAAATGCTGTGCTACAAATAAGCATTCGTTCTTTTTCTTATTTTTGGTTTAGTTCATGTTTTTTTTTCCTAATTCTCTGTCGAATTCTCTGACGACCTGCCTCCTTTTTATGGCAGATCAGGAGTTCGACTTTTTATCAAAACTATGGCCTGATCATTTTAAAATCTTTTTTATTTTTAAAACAGATTTTGTAACTCAAATCAGAAATAATGGGACAATAATTCTTTTTAAATTAAGAAAATGTAAACGAGGGTATAAAACATAAAAAACATAATAATATAAAAATTAAAAACATCTTTTTTGTATTTTTTAACCATACGTTTCTAGAATTGAACTTTACATAAAAGGCATGATATTAAACTTTATTATGGAAATAGCATGTTTAATTTTAATTTTTTCAGTACCCAAAGAAAGTGAGTCTTTCCCAAAAACAATTTTTTTTTAATCTCTACATCATTAGAACCTGATGGTGTAAGCCTTTAATATTTTAAATCTATCGTATTTGATCTAACAGAATTCAAAGTTTGACGTATCTTAGGTCTACGACCATTGGTTCCAAAGATATAGGGAGTAAAAAAATCAGAATGTATGGCAAAGACATAAACATGTTATAAATATATTATAAACATATTACAAATGTATTACAAATCCAAATGTAACTTACTGTATTGAAAGGAGAAAATGTAATTTAATGAGAAGATAAATCTACGAGATTTTATATTTCTACTTTTTGCTTTAATGTAACTAAGCCTGCAAGAACTAAATGTATCTTCTCGTTCTATCTTTCAAACTTTTCTCTTTTTATATAAATGTATCTACAGTGGTCTCCGGTAAATAGTAGAAAAGCAAAACGTAAATTTTGTATACCATTATCAAAATATAATTTGAAGTTTTGGATGTCAAAGTTTTTTTTCAGAAACTACGAATATTTGAAATTAATGCTTGTCAATGGTAACTCAGGAACCCCCTTGACCGATTTGCCTCAAACTTTGATTGTGGAACTCTGTAAAACAACGTGAATGTTTCTAGCTAGGTTTAAACATTTTTAGTTGAATAGGGATTGACTTTTAAAAAGAAAACTTTGTTTAAAAGCAAAGCTGGGTTCCCAGCAATAGTTTAAAATATTCTTCCTGTTTTAAACTGTTTCAAAACTTTACAATATATGGAATGATTATTAATGAGGACATGAAAAAGTAAAATATGACGTATTCCAATTCTAATTTCTATTTCTAGAGATTCCATGATAAAATCATTAATTAATACATGCTCACGCCAACCTTTATATATTCGTGAGCCTGTTTCAACTATTATTAGCTCCAAAATAGTTTTAACTATTTTTAGTTCCAGGATAGTTTCAACTATTTTTAACTCCAGGATAGTTTAAAATTAAATCATTTTATTGAAAGAATATATAAACCATTCTTTTCCAAGTCATGAAAGAATATTTTAGTTTTGAATTAGAATATGAAGTATATTGATTTTATCGTTATCAACTATAGGGACTGTAAACGTAGTTTCAAGTGATCCTCCATACAGTACCCAGTCTAATTCACAAAAGTACCCTTGTCGACACCTTCTTCTGATTTACAACAGTACCCTTGTAAACACCATCACAATAGTACCCTTGTCGACACCTTCTTCTGATTTACAATAGTACCCTTGTCAACACCTTCTACTGATTCACAACGGTACCCTTGTCAACACCTTCTACTGATTCACACCAGTACCCTTGTCAACACCTTCTACTGATTCACAACGGTACCCTTGTCAACACATTCTTCTGATTCACAACGGTACCCTTGTCAACACCTTCTACTGATTCACAACAGTACCCTTGTCAACACCTTCTTCTGATTCACAACAGTACCCTTGTCAACACCTTCTTCTGATTCACAACGGTACCCTTGTCAACACATTCTTCTGATTCACAACGGTACCCTTGTCAACACCTTCTACTGATTCACAACAGTACCCTTGTCAACACATTCTTCAGATTCACAACGGTACCCTTGTCAACACCTTCTTCTGATTCACAACAGTACCCTTGTCAACACCTTCTTCTGATTCACAACGGTACCCTTGTCACCACCTTCTTCTGATTCACAACGGTACCCTTGTAAACACATTCTTCTGATTCACAACGGTACCCTTGTCAACACCCTCTACTGATTCACAACAGTACCCTTGTCAACACCTTTTACTGATTCACAACGGTACCCTTGTCAACACCTTCTTCTGATTCACAACAGTACCCTTGTCAACACATTCTACTGATTCACAGCAGTACCCTTGTCAACACATTCTTCTGATTCACAACAGTACCCTTGTCGACACCTTCTTCTGATTTACAATAGTACCCTTGTCGACACCTTCTTCTGATTTACAATAGCACCCTTGTCGACACCTTCTTCTGATTTACAACAGTACCCTTGTCGACACCTTCTTCTGATTCACAACAGTACCCTTGTCGACACCTTCTACTGATTAATAATAAGATATTGCCTTTTTTATAGGATAGGTTTAAAAGTGTCGATTTGTGATAATTTTAATTTTTTTTATGGCGTAGAAATGAGGTCACTTTTGTAGAGAAACAACAATGGAAAACAAGATTAATAACATTGATGGTACCGATCTAAATCGGGCATAGTCATCTTGGCAGTGAAGGTCACTTAAAAATACGTTTTTAGTCGCTAAATTTTTAATTTTCTGCTCAAATGATTGTGACTATTTTTTAAAAATCTGAACTTTACTTTCAAACGATAATTAAATCTACTGCCATCCTTTAATCTTACCAAATCACACAGTTTTACAATATGTTAATTTTAATGGACGGATCATATTTTTTTTGGTTCCACCCGTATTGCATGATTGCTTCACAACCTTGTGCTGACTAAGAAATAATTAATCACGAAAACCAGTTTTTAACTTTTTCCCATAAAATATATTTTTTTATTTTGAACATTTATTTTGGAGATGCTAAATATAATAGAATTGAGGATGTGTTTAAAATGGATTCAATTAAAATTCTGATAAAAACCGAAGGGAAAAAAATCGATAAAGAAAGTTATGCCGACTTTGAACTTTTTAGCATTGTCATCCAGTCATTCCATTGTTTTGAACGTTTTGCGTTTTTCAGGTGATCATTTTAAGTCTCATCCTTGTTAGGTAATCCTATATACCCCAATATCAAAATTCAGTTCTATTTTAAAGGGACTCTAAGCAAAATATTAATTTCAAAAAGGGAAATATCATCAACAATATTACCATAAAAATATTTTTCTAAAAAAACTGTTTGAGTAATCGCCGTTTTTAAAGCTGTAAAGTGAAAATAATGATTTATCGTTTTCGCAGAATAAATAAGACAATTCTTTTCAGAGTATAGCTGTGAATTGGACATGCCATCCTATTAATGGAAATTAAATTACGTCCACCAGACAAGGTCAGTAAACGTAAATTCAACTGAACCCTAGAAACATGTAACCTTGAAACTGTACCCTAGAAACTGTACCCTAGCTACTGTACCCTAGAAACTGTACCCTAGCTACTGTACCCTAGAAACTGTACCCTAGCTAATGTACCCTAGAAACTGTACCCTAGCTACTGTACCCTAGAAACTGTACCCTAGCTACTGTACCCTAGAAACTGTACCCTTGAAACTATACTCTTGAACCTGTACCCTAGAACCTGTACCCTAGAAACTGTACCCTAGAAACTGTACCCTAGAATTTGTACCCTAGAAACTGTACCCTAGAAACTGTACCCTAGAAACTGTACCCTGGAAACTGTACCCTAGAAACTGTACCCTAGAAACTGTACCCTGGAAACTGTACCCTAGAAACTGTACCCTTTAAATTGTACCCTAGAAACTGTACCCTAGAAACTGTACCCTTGAAGTTGTACCCTAGAAACTGTACCCTAGAAACTGTGCCCTTGAAGTTGTACCCTAAAAAGCTTTGTCTGTACCAGAATGAATGAGCTATCAGATTGTTATGTTTTTAAAACTGATTATATTCACTTGTGGTTTCTCTACAAAAGTGACTTGAGCTTTTCTTGCTTCAGATAAAAAAAGGAGAAATGTTTAGAATTCAACACTTGTAAGACATAGAAAAACGACGTTTTGCATATTCAACATTATTAATCAGAGAAAGGCTTTAAGTAGGTACCATTGTGAATAAGGTATGCCATCCTTTTTTTTAAAGTAGGGTCACTTGATATTTTGTTTATCCTCCCTTTAAGCATTGAATTGAACCTGATAAATACGAGATTGAATAGAACATTATACGAATAAATAATGATAAATAAAATCAAATTGTCTTAAAAAAGAGCCCCCCCCCCCCACTGTCAAAATCTTTATATTTGGTTCATGAAGAAACCTTACATATGGATATTAGTTTTGTTACACCAAGTTTCTCAAGAAAGATGGATCCTATGTTTGAATAAGGAAGTTTTTTCATTAACTTTTGTATGTATATTAGAATTAGTCAATTCTAATCTTATTTACCATTTGTCAGATCCAGCTGTAACTTAAACAAACTGTCGATATAATTTCAATTAACCTACTATTTTCTTCATTTTCTGAAAAATGATTATTTTCAATTTCGGTTCGCTTTAAAAATCACTTTCAAATTTATACAGCATAGACAAGGAAGGAAATTCAGAGAATTTCTGCCTATTCAAGACAGAAATACGAGGTGTTCAGGGTACTGTTGTGAATCAGGCATGTACACCTTTGAACTAATGGTAACTTGAAATTACAGTCCCTTTAGGAGTTATTAACTTTGCCTTAAATAACTTTTGAAAAAAAAAATAAATTAGAAAATAAGCTAAATGTCAACAAATATTATTTACCGAATTATTAAAGATTACTTCAGGTTTCAACATTTGTATAACATTTGGAAAATGCCAGTGTTTAAGACTGTAGGTATTGATTGATTTAAAATTTATATCTACAAATAAAATAGATAAAAATAATATTGTAAAAAATGTATAGATATATAAACAACTTTTCCTAAAAAATATGTAAAGATTTATTAAAGTTGTTAACAAAAGTAATGTAATCAAAATTCATCTTATAAATCTTTTTATGAAGATACTATAATCAAAACAAGTATATATATATATATAGATCTATATATATCTATATATACATATTTGTATTGAATTTTGCAAAAAAAGTGTTAGAGGTACATCTAGAAGTATCAGCCCTTTTATTTAAAAAAAAACGTTTACATCTATACACACAAATTAATGTCTTTAAACTGTTTTAAAATATCAGATCTGCTATTTCTATTTGCTCAGCATTTAACTTGATGGCGTTTAGCTTCCTTGTCACAGCAAAAATATTTTTTAAATACTGACCAGGCTCTGTTTTAGACAGGTAGAGTTTCGTTTTCTCAGTTGTGTACTGACACAAAAATATATGGTTAAATGTAGGGCTGGGCAAGTTCCAACTTTTTCTAACCGTTTCGTTAACAGTTAGTTAGTTTTTTTTTAAAACCCATCAGTTTTGCATTCGTTTTCAACCGTTAATTATTTTTCTTCCAAAACGTGAAGGTTATGAGAAATTTTAATGTAAAAACGTGCAGGTTATGAAAAATAGCAATGTAAAAATGTGAAGATTATGAAAAATAGCAATGTAAAAACGTGGAGGTTATGAAAAATAGCAATGTAAAAACGTGGAGGTTATGAAAAATACCAATGTAAAAACATGGATATTATGAAAAATAGCAATGTAAAAACGTGGAGGTTATGAAAAATAGCAATGTAAAAACGTGGAGGTTTGAAAAATAGCAAAGTAAAAACGCGGAGGTTATGAAAAATAATAATGTAAAAACGTGGAGGTTATGAAAAATAGCAATGTAAAAACGTGGAGGTTATGAAAAATAGCAATGTAAAAACGTGTAGGTTATGAAAAATAGAAATGTAAAAACGTGGAGGTAATGAAAAATAGCTATATAAAAACGTGGAAGTTATGAAAAGTAGCAATGTAAAAACGTGGAGGTTATGAAAAATAGCAATGTTAAAAGAAAAATTTAATAGGAAATGAGGCACTGGAGTAAATAGGGGATACATTTCAATCTTATAAATAGATCTAGATCTAGAAAACGCTTAAATAGATCAAGTTTGAATCTATAGAGAAGATACTTAGGCTGTGTCAAAGAGTGTCAACAGGCTCCAGGAGAAAACTAATTGGGTCCGTCCAACATATCATCTAATCGACATTAGCTGGTCAGAGAAATTAAGATGGATAGATAGATAGATATAAAAATACAGGACTGAGACGTCTAGAAGTGCCTCCTATTATTAGAAATATAAAAATACAGGGCTGAGACGTCTAGAAGTGACTCCTATTATTAAAAATAAAAATACAGGGCTGAGACGTCTAAAAGTGCCTCCTATTATATTAAAAATAAAAATACAGGGCTGAGACGTCTAGAAGTGCCTCCTATTATTAAAAATATAAAATTTTTTAACCTCTTCTCGTTCACTGTCACTGTCAGACATTGCTCAACCTAAAAAATTATTTTAATAATTTAATAACCAATCAATATATAAACCTAAATATCCATCAATAAACAAACCAATCACTCAAATCATCATAAAATTTGTATACCAATCAATCCATCGATAAACCGATCAGTCCATCAATAAACCAATCAATCAATCAATAAACAATTAGTTCATTAATAAACCGAACCATTAATCAGTAAACCAATCAATCCTGCTATTAACTAAACCATCAATCAAAAACCAATCAATCTATTAATAAACCAGTCAATCATTTTATAAACTAAACCATCAATTAATCTATTAATAAACCAGTCAATCATTTTATAAACTAAACCATCAATCAATCTAACAACAAACCTGTCAATTATTTTAAAAACTAAACCATCAATCAATCTATCAATAAACCAGTCAATCATTTTAAAAACTAAACCATCAATCAATCTATCAATAAACAAGTCAATTGTTTTATAAACTAAACCATCAATCAATCTATCAATAAACCAGTCAATCATTTTATAAACTAAACCATCAATCAATGCTACAGTACCTCTTTAAAAATTCATCTGATCATTTTTGCACATAATCCAATGTAAAACAATTACAGTAGGAGTCATAAATTCATATCATATATATATATATATGTATATACATAAATATACATGCATATATATGTTTATTTATATATTTTTTAACTGTCCAACTATAATGGATAACTTTGAAACAAATGTCAGAATAATAATAATAAATTCATATTTTTGTTTAGAGACAGTTTTTGTCCAAAAATCTGTGATTGTCAGCGTCAACATGGAAAATATTCTGTTACTGTGTCAGAAAACCATAATATCATTAATGATTCACTTTCCCCCTCCCATTCTTTTTTATACAACCCCCTCCCATTCTCCACCCCTCATACTTAATCTACCCCCCCCTAACTTTCTTGCATAGATTCACACGATTATATACAAAAACGACCCCGGAAAAAGTCCTATTATAGTATAAAATGCGTGGGAACAAAAGATGTTTTCATCCATGGAAAAAATGACCTTATTATTAAGAACTCCTCTGGCTTTATTTAATATAAAGATGCATAAAAAAGTCTATTTTTATGAAAACGTCTAAGACTTGGACCTCTTTTCCCAAGACCTAGGACTTTTTTTCTTCAGGACTTTAATTCCTGTGATCTTATTTCCTGAGACTTTATAGGCAGGCACTATATGATTTTAGGAAAAAAAGTCCCAGGAATCTAAAACTTAGGACTTTATTTCCAGTGGCATTTTGTCCTTGGACTTCAGAAAATTGAGACTTTTTTACTAAAGTTTTAATTTCCAGGTTTTTTTCCAGAAACATTATTTCCTGTGACTTTCTTACATAGATTCTTCTGCACCAGTAAGTGTAATGCACCAGTGTACTGATATAGTAAGTTTACTGTACCAGTCTTGAAAACGACCCTTTATTAACGATCATTAACGATGACCCTCTTTTAAGGACCGTTACTGAAGACCCTTCGTTAATGATCGTTAACGAACCTTTTAAAGATTTTTATAAAGACGATCAATTTTAAAAACGATCGGTTTTTGTTTTTTTAAAGTTCAAAACGAGTAGTTTATTTTAAAAATGATAGTTTTCATAAACGAAAGATCGCTTTAAAAAAAATGAATACGAACCGAAAGTGTTCTGCACCAGAAAGTGTTCTGAACCAGAAAGTGTTCTGTACCAGAAAGTTTTCTGCACCAGAAAGTTTTCTGAACCAGTAAGTATACTGCACCATTAATTGTACTGCACCTGTAAATGTACTGCACCAATAAGTGTACTGCACCAGTAAGTGTACTGCATCAGTAAGTGTACTGCAACAGTAAGTGTACTGCACAAGTAAATGTACTGCACCAGTAAGCGTACTGCGCCAGTAAGTGTACTGTACTGTTAAGTGAAATGCACCAGTAAGTGTTCTGAACCAATAAGTGTAATGCACAGGTCAGTGTATTGCACAGGTCAGTGTACTGAAAAGTAAGTGTACTGCACCAGTAAGCGTACTGCACCAGTAAGTGTACTGCACCAGTAAGTGTACTGCACCAGTAAGTATGCTGCACCCGTAAGTGTACTGCACCAGTAAGTGTACTGTATACCAGTAAGTGTACTGCACCAGTATACCTGAGATTAGTAAGGCCCCGGGGCCCTCCAGCACAAATCATATGATTTCAACCTTTACTCAATCCTCCTAGTTTCCAGTATCCGATACCGGGCTATAGGCCTACGGTAGGGGGGGGGGACACTAGGCCTATACCAGGGGGAGGGGGCTCACCCCCCTCCCTTTTGATCCTTTAATTTTTCCAGTTTAGTAAATGTATCCAATTTCTTATTTTAATCCTATGCATTGAAATTAAATACAAACATCAGAGTTGAAGTTTATTTATTAAGAAACCCTTCAATGACAACGCTGAAATATCACTTTTCAATAAAATGGCCTCAGCCTTGTTTGATTAATTACTTGAATATATGTACATATTTATTTGTACTGCATAATGTACAGTTATAATACGTTTAATTGTCTGTACAGTTAATTAATCATTTGTTGTTTTGTGTACGTTCAAACAGTAATAATTGTATATAGACAATACAAATACAAAACTGTACAACTACCTTGTACAGTATCCTATTGTACCGGCGGCCGTCCTCTATCCAATGAATCCTCCTTTCCTCCTACTGTGTTTATAGTTTGGAGGATAAAACTGGACTGAACCATTGCGGCCTCTACGCTATACTTCTCTACTCCTCTAGTTCTCTATACTCCTATCCTGCTTCAGCTGCTAAGACTAAAGACCTGGGACCTAGGAGGGATAAATCCAGGTGATATACAAAAATACTAAATAGAGTCAGAGCAGTGGTAATGCGCGTGCACGCTGATCTAGTCGTGTCAAGTCCTGGCGGAGAGTTACTGAAAGTTATTTCATCCGTTTTCAGGTGGTTTCATAAAAAATCCGGGATCCAAAACCTGTTTCAAAATTGCCCATTCTATAAGTTTGGTCAACATTTTGACTGTAACAGCAGATGGCTTAAATTAAAAATAAAAACTTTCGTTATTACTGATGTCAGAGTCACCATCTTAATGGTGCAACATACGTTGTAGAAACTTTTTATATGTCTCAATTGAATCCAAATAAAGTTGTCCACAATTCTACACATTCAGTTCAACACCATACATTGTCGGTCACTCCCTTTAAGGCAAAATATTTGACCGAATGCATGAGATCGTAATATTTGAAGAGTTTCTCGTCGTCTTTACAATCTCATTCTTTATAGGTAACCCTGTATAAAAATATGTTAATAATTCAGAACAATAACCTTTAAGCCCGGCAAACAAGCTAAGTACGTAATATATGATTTATTTATGGGAAATCACATAATATGTAGTTTACAAGAGTTCTACTTCATTATGATTATTAAACCTTCATCAAGAATTTTTTGTTTATTTAGAAAATAAGATCTGCCTAGATGATTATCTTTAAAACAGAATTGAGTCTTTCCCACAAACTCAAATTTTTAGTCCTTATATCTTTGCAACCTGTGATCGAACTTAAGGAAATTAAGCTGAACTAGATTTTACGATGTAAAAAGTTTTAAACATGACTCTGGGTTGCAAAGATATGGCGATTAGAAAATCAGAGCTTCAAGTTTAAAATGACAGGGTTTGAATTTTTTTAATCGATGATTTTGAGAACTTGTCGGAGTTGTTGAAAACTTGTCGCAGGTGTTGAGAACTTGTCGGAGCTGTTGAGAACTCATCGGAGGTGTTGAGAACTTGTCAGAAGTGTTGAGAACTAGTCGGTTGAGAACTTGTCGGAGGTGTTCAGAACTTGTCGGAGGTGTTAAGAACTTGTCGGAGCTGTTGAGAACTCATCGGAGGGGTTGAAAACTCATCGGAGGTGTTGAGAACTTGTCAGAAGTGTTGAGAACTAGTGTGTTGAAAACTTGTCGGAGCTGTTGAGAACTCATCGGAGGTGTTGAGAACTTGTCAGAGGTGTTGAGAACTAGTCGTGTTGAGAACTTGTCGGAGGTTTTGAGAACTTGTCGAAGGTGTTGAGAACTTATCGGAGGTGTTGAGAACTTGTCGAAGGTGTTGAGAACTTATCGGAGGTGTTGAGAACTTGTCGGAGTTGTTGAGAACTTGTCGGAGGTGTTGAGAACTTTTCGGAGGTTTTGAGAACTTGCCGGAGGTGTTGAGAACTCATCGGAGGTGTTGAGAACTTGTCGGAGGTATTGAGAATTTATCGGAGGTATTGAGAACTTGTCGGAGGTGTTGAGAACTTGTCGGAGGTTTGAGAACTTGTCGGAGTTGTTGAGAACTTGTCGGAGTTGTTGAGAACTTGTCGGAGGTGTTGAGAACTTGTCGGAGATGTTGAGAACTTGACGGAGGTGTTGAGAACTCATCGGAGGTGTTGAGAACTTGCCAGAGATGTTGAGAACTCATCGGAGGTGTTGAGAACTTGTCGGAGGTGTTGAGAACTAGTTGTGTTGAGAACTTGTCGGTGTTGAGAACTAGTCGTGTTGAGAACTTGTCGGAGATGTTGAGAACTTGACGGAGGCTTTGATAACAGCGTGTACTGGCCCGACCCTATGGTACAGTACGTCGCCCTAACCAGACTAACATACAACAGGGGTCAATTTTCTTGGCATAGTCCCGTCGGAGGGCTAACTCCCATGTCGCGTTCAGACTTTTTACAGTACCTGGCCTAATCCTAGGCCTATTTGACCAACCCCACCACGGAAAAAGACAGTAAAAATTCCCTACAGTCGTCTCTAGAGTTTCATTATTTGTAGGTATGTATGTAGGTATATGTAGGTATGTATGTAGGTATGTATGTAGGTATGTATGTAGGTATGTATGTAGGTATGTATGTAGGTATGTATGTAGGTAAGTATGTAGGTATTTATGTAGGTATGTATGTAGGTATGTGTGTAGGTATGTATGTAGGTATATGTAGGTAAGTATGTAGGTATATGTAGGTATGTATGTAGGTATATGTAGGTATGTATGTAGGTATATGTAGGTATGTATGTAGGTATATGTAGGTATGTATGTAGGTATGTATGTAGGTATATGTAGGTATGTATGTAGGTTTTTTTATACAACTCATACATCTTCGAATACTTGGACAATGTAACATATTGTTCCTGATATGAGACAAACTTGATTGATGCCCTTTTGGAATAACATTTAGTCTTACAGAAATCTCTTAGGTTTTTACAATCTTTTTTTCCTGATTATAAGAAATAAACTGTTCAAGTCATCATCATTCTTGTCTTCCCTCTTTACCTTGATAATCTTCAAGGAGAATTGAATACAAGGAGGGGGCAATAGGGTTTCCGTACACTTTGCTGTGACGTTTTTGGACTCCTGGAGAACTAGTTTTTGCGTAACAACAATAATGAAGATTGTAAACAATAACACAAATGATAAAAAGACATCTGGTGCATCTCTGGCGTTAGATGAAGATTCACCGTATACTAACTCATGTTTGTTTACATTAGATCGGCTGCCTTTATTACTGTTGTTACGCAAAAACTAGTTCTCCAGCAGTCCAAAACAGTCACAGCAAAGTGCACGGAAACCCTATTGCCCCCTCCTTGTATTCAATTCTCCTTGAAGATTATCAAGGTAAAGAGGGAAAAAAGAATGATAATGACTTGATCATTTTAATTCTTATAATCAGGAAAAAAAAGATTGTAAAAACTTAAGAGATTTCTGTAAGACTAAATGTTATTCCAAAAGGGCATCAATCAAGTTTTTCTCATATCAGGAACAATATGTTACATTGTCAAAGTATTCGAAGATGTATGAGTTGTATAAAAAAACCTACATACATACCTACATATACCTACATACATACCTACATATACCTACATACATACCTACATATACCTACATACATACCTACATATACCTACATACTTACCTAAATATACCTACATACATACCTACATATACCTACATACATACCTACATATACCTACATACTTACCTACATATACCTACATACATACCTACACACATACCTACATACATACCTACATACATACCTACATACATACCTACATACATACATAACTACATACATACCTACATACATACCTACATACCTACATATACCTACACACATACCTAAAAATAATGAAACTCTGAGACGACTGTAGGGAATTTTTACTGTCTTTTTCCGTACATATATTCATGATTCCTTGCAGGCTGCAACTATAAACTTCTTTCTTTCTTTACAAAATAAACAAGCCATTTAAATACTAATATTCAAGGTAGCACATTTTACACGGTTGACTAAGCCAGTGGGGTCGGACAAATAGGCTTAGGATTAGGCCTGGTACTGTAAAAAGTCTGAACGCGACATGGGAGTTAGCCCTCCGACGGGACTATGCCAAGAAAATTGACCCCTGTCGTATGTTAGTCTGGTTAGGGCGACGTACTGTACCATAGGGTCGGGCCAGTACACGCTGTTATCAGGCAGGTCGGTACAAACTGTTCGAATTCAAATTTACTACGGCCCAGAGTGTTTAAGATCGTCATTTTTAAAGATTTAAAAGTTGTTTTTACCATCTCATTATTTGTGGGTAACCCTGTATTCTGTACATTAGGCGGAACAATAATAAATGATAAAACAATGATAAACGTCATGAACCTCGAACTGATTCATTGAATATGTATAAGCATACAATTTATTATAAATCTACATACAGTAAACATCATGCATTCCTTTTGGAAAATATATTTTTAATATTATATGCTTTACGAATCAAAAGTCGTTCTTATTGTATTTATTTAATCACCTACCACTGTATGTTTGACGTTGTTTTCTTTTACCTCGCCCTGTAACATGTATTTTTATTTACCTCGCCCTGTAACATGTATTTTTATTTACCTCGCCCTGTAACATGCATTTTTATTTATCTCGCCCTGTAACATGTATTTTTATTTACTTTGCCCTGTAACATGTATTTTTATTTACCTCGCCCTGTAACATGCATTTTTATTTACCTCGCCCTGTAACATGTATTTTTATTTATCTCGCCCTGTAACATGTATTTTTATTTACCTCGCCCTGTAACATGTATTTTTATTTACCTCGCCCTGTNGTCTGGTAGAAAAGAGTGTTTTCCTTGCCAACTTGCCTTTCCCTCTTTCGAGTATTATTCCTTTTGTTCAGCTCACACATGTATTTTTATTTACGCAACGATGGAGAACAAGATTTTCAAGTGTCCTTGCTTGTAAAGGAACAGCATTTAAACGTTTTCTATCCAAAAACTGTTTAATATTTTTAAATCCACAACCTGTTTGGAGGGATAGAAATTTACAAGTTGTAGACGATATGAGAAATCTACTGTTTGATGGTGTCTAAATGCACAAACTGTTTGATGGTGTATAAATCCACAAGATGTGCGTATAAATCCACAAGCTGTTTGATGGTGTATAAATCCACAAGATGTTTGATGGTGTTTAAATTCATAAACTGTTTGATGGTGTATAAATCCACAAGCTGTTTGATGGTGTATAAATCCACAAGATGTTTGATGGTGTTTAAATTCATTAACTGTTTGATGGTGTATAAATCCACAAACTGTTTGATGGTGTATAAATCCACAAGATGTTTGATGGTGTTTAAATTCATAAACTGTTTGATGGTGTATAAATCCACAAACTGTTTGATGGAGTATAAATCTACAAGATGTTTGATGGTGTAAAAATCCACTAACTGTTTGATGGGATTTATACAAGGTTTTTGATTATTTAGATTTGATGATATAGAGTCGCCTAAGCGTAATTTATCTATTTTTGAATGGTATACAGATTAAACCCTTTTTCTGACAATCTTAAATGTCATAGAAAACTTACATTGTGAACATTTTTTGACTCTTCAATTGAAGCATTGAAAGTTTCTTCGAATTGGGATAATTGGAGTTATTTCTGAGAAATAAAAATAAAGAAGCCTTGCATTGCGCTGATATGATGTATAGAATACATAAAGAAAAGAAGGGAAAAATCTGCTTTAAAAAGTTTATTTAAAACATTTTTGAAATATAACAAATACATTAAACATTCTAATTAAATTAACAGTTAACTATTAAAAAATGGGAAAACATAAGAAAAAAAAACGCAAATTTTGCTTCGGTAAAAAATACAATTTGTTTGTTCAGTAAATCTGAAAGATGAAAACAGTAAATGTAGGGCTTCTATATAGAACTCATTCATTTACTTTAATATATTTCAGAACATAGTTCACCCATATCAGAAAAAAGAAATCCAAATGTTGTGCTTAACAATTACAGAATTTATACATTTAAACATTTATTCAGATGAGATTTTGTTTGTCCAAAACAATTATTTTATTACCCTGAAGGCAATTAAAACTATATGTAGTAAATGCAATTTTTTTTTAATTTGATGATAAAAGATCTTTTATCAAATTTAACAATAATAATGTATGACTTTCCAAAAAAAAGCATATGAGAGATATTTCAATACTGTATTTTTCATGACAGGTTTGAACTAGTTTCAATTCAAATCCGAAATCGTTAAATGATTTAGTTCAATATTAACGTTCATCTAGATTGAATTAATTTGATTTTTAATAAAAAAGTTTTGATTGCCAATATTTTGGTTGGGATTAAAATACCATTTAAAATCAAAATAAAATTAATGATACAGTGCATCGGACATTTTGGATCCAAATAGTGCTGATTTATATACCATGGCCTGATATCGATATATACAACAGAACACAGTTTAAAGCGTGTGTGTAGATTAATTGATCAGTCAAACTGTTGTGAATCGAACACGGCAGGGTTACGTGAAATTACACCTACAGTCCCTTCCTGCAATGTAATTCAAAAAGAATTTTCTTTTTTACCTAACTTAAGTCAACTCTTTTTAAAATAAAAAGATTTTTGGCGCATTCTTAGAAATATTATCAACTCAATGTCCGAATTTAATAAATTTGAGCCGTGTCTCAAATTCGTCAAAAACCGGTTTAAATTGAGCGCAGGCCTAAATCTTGAAACATTGAATACATTTTTCAGTGGAGCCAATTATATCTGAGCCGCGTCTCAAATTTAAGCCGCGGCTCAAACTCTTTAAATGCGGCCTCTGTTCTACTTTTTCTCTCATAAAGGAGGTTCAGGGTTATGATCATCATTCACTAATTATTCACTTCGTAACAAGTCTTTTCCCCTTCTGGACACAAACCTAGTCAATTAGGCCCAGATTCTTATTGTACTGTCCCAAGAAGCAGTTCCAATAGCAGTACCATCGGGAGATACCTGAATAATTAATAATATAATAATAATACTTTAAGTGATGTGACTCTGTTTTCATGACCATACAGAACTGCTATTCTCTCACATTTCAGCGTATCCCAAAGATTGACAGTGTAATCGTTATAACCTAAAACTTAAATGTATTAAGTCTCAATAAAGGCAGGGGTCCAACTAGGGCGGCTTTATCCACACCTAGCCCCTCGCAAATGTTGAAAAAGGAAAATTTTACAGAGGTGAAAAGTGGTAAATGGTAAAAATAGATTAATCTTTTAAAAAATAGTTGAAATTCCAGGATTTCATACAAAAAAAAAATTTGGTTACGAAAATTAGGAATTTATCACTATAAAAAATGTTTTTCTCCCCCCCCCCTTTAAGATACAACGGAAGTTGCACCTTTCCTAAAAAAACTAATTTAGAAAAATAAAAGTTAGAAGCATATAAATAATGAAGCTGTATGGTTAGTGAAATGACTGTTATTCACTCTTCAATTGCTATAATTTTATGAAATATCATAGAAATATAAGGAAATTAAAACAAGTTCTTTTAAACAATTAAAATTTTCAAACATCTTACCAAAATACATCGCAAAAATTTATCAAATGTCGTCTTGAAAATTTTCAATGGGTTTTATACCATTTTACGTAAATTTCAGTATTTGCAAAAGTAAATAAATAGCAATGATTAATCATTTAATTAAAAAATCAAATATATGCCACATTTCATTATCAGAAAGTGAAGAATACGACATTTGAAGAATTCTTTCGATGTATAGCTTTTTTAGGGTTTAACTATATATAACTGAGAAAAAACTTTTAACAACAGATCCATGTTTCATTTTTGTTTTGACAAAACTTTCAAATCTACAAAAATACGAGAAAATAAAGTTTTGTGAAGAATTATTACAACTTTTATGATTCTTCTAAACAAAAAGAACTGAAACACAATCATTTCATTTCCTGTAAAAACTTTTTATATTTGAGAGCAAGCGTGCTTCACCAAGTTTTCAATTGACTAGCTTACTTAAATAGGGGTGACGTTTAGGAAACATTTTTCTTTAAAATCACGTTTTAACCTTCAAAAGTAGGCTTAATATTGCTTGTTCTCTTTTCCTAGGATTTTCAAAAAAATTTACGAAAATTAGGCATTTTAGAGAAAACATTTTCATCATTGATCATGCCATTTATGGGTATTGTGCCTACTAGGACAATACTTAGGATAAAAAGCCTAGACACACTTTTTCAGAGACACCCAGTTGGTATACACTTCTTATCTTAGACACACTTTTTCAGAGACACCCAGTGGGTATACACATATTATTACCTGCAAATAGCAATCTCCCAGACATACTAAAATCTACAGCGTTTACCCCAAACAGAATTGCGTCTTTTGAGTACATTGCAACCTCCCTGTCTGCTCTTAGATCAAATAATCTAGAAATAAAAAGTTACAACATTTTCAGAAAACTGAATTTTTAACTTCCTAGAAGGGGCTGATTTTTTGATGTACTGTCCCACTTTGCCTTATATAGTTTGTCTATGTACTGTACAGCTTGTTTATAAGTCGGCCTAGTACTTAAAATGAACAAGAGTTTTCAGTTACGGTATTGAATCCTATAATCTAAAACTATATCTAAAGCTTAAAATCTTTTTTCCTTAAAAAATATAGAAATTGCAGCAGCCCCAGCATTACTTTAACATTAATATATATTAGGCTGGGTTCTCCTCAACTCCCCCCGGAGTTTAAGATAGAGCTAGAAAATCATGAATAAAAATATAGAAATTGCAGCAGCCCCAGCATTACTTTAACATTAATATATATTAGGCTGGGTTCTCCTCAACTCCCCCCGTAGTTTAAGATAGTGCTAGAAAATCATGAATAAAAATATAGAAATTGCAGCAGCCCCAGCATTACTTTAACATTAATATATATTAGGCTGTGTTCTCCTCAACTCTCCCCGGAGTTTGAGATAGAGCTAGAAAATCATGAATAAAAATATAGAAATTGCAGCAGCCCCAGCATTACTTTAACATTAATATATATATTAGGCTGGGTTCTCCTCAACTCCCCCCGGAGTTTAAGATAGAGCTAGAAAATCATTAATAAAAATATAGAAATTGCAGCAGCCCCAACATTACTTTAACATTAATATATATTAGGCTGGGTTCTCCTCAACTCCCCCCGGAGTTTGAGATAGAGCTAGAAAATCATGAATAAAAATATAGAAATTGCAGCAGCCCCAGCATTACTTTAACATATATATTAGGCTGGGTTCTCCTCAACTCCCCCCGGAGTTTGAGATAGAGCTAGAAAATCATGAATAAAAATATAGAAATTGCAGCAGCCCCAGCATTACTTTAACATTAATATATATTAGGCTGGGTTCTCCTCAAATCCCCCCGGAGTTTGAGATAGAGCTAGAAAATCATGAATAAAAATATAGAAATTGCAGCAGCCCCAGCATTACTTTAACATTAATATATGTATTAGGCTGGGTTCTCCTCAACTCCCCCCGGAGTTTAAGATAGAGCTAGAAAATCATGAATAAAAATATGTTAATTGCAGCAGCCCCAGCATTACTTTAACATTAATATATATATTAGACTGGGTTCTCCTCAACTCCCCCCGGAGTTTGAGATAGAGCTAGAAAATCATGAATAAAAATATAGAAATTGCAGCAGCCCCAGCATTACTTTAACATGATGAATGATGAATGATGAATGATGAATGATGAATGATGAATGATGAATGATGAATGATAAATAATGAATGATGAATAATGAATGATGAACCTGCAGGATGCATCATCGCTGCCAGTAGCAATGGCGTCTCCCCCTGGATGGAACTTGACAGAGTTTATATCTGATGTGTGTCCCTAAATAAATTAAAAATATACTTTTATTATTCGTTATCAACACAATTTTTTGTACAGGGTTACCCATAATAAATGAGAATTCAGGGACGACTGTACAGAATTTATAACTATCTGCGACCTAATGTTCATGATTCACTTCATCTGTTAATTTTTCTTCTGTTTCAACTCATTAAATAAACCAATAAAAGACTATATTTGGGGCAAAAGTTTAACCATGATATTTTCATATTATAATGAGTTTTAGGTCGTCTGTACAGTCTCAGTTATATGTACACTGTACACTCAACAATCAGAACCAAAGAAAGGTCGTCTTAGACTTTTATTTTACCTTCAATTGTTGCAACTGATATATCTTAAAAATGATTCGGCCACTTTTTTACAAAAAGTTAATTTGGATATTTACATAATCCTCGGGATAATATAGTTTAAAGAAGAGGACGAGAATTCTACTGTTTTCTACCTTTCACTGAATATTAATAAGGTAAATATCAAAGAAATATAAAAACTAGATTAGTTTTCTTACACAAAGAAACGATAGATTTTCATTTCTCTGAACGATCCAAGTATTTCGCCCATCATTCACTTTTTCTTTGAACGAAACCATCGTTCACGAAAAATTTGGTTTGTTATATAAAACTATACCTATCTCTAGTTTGAGATAGAGCTATAGATCTTTTTAAAGAAACAGAGTTTATGTAAAGAAAAGCGTGGCTTTAATGAAAACGAAAAGACATACAAGATTATCTGGAACATCCACCAAGCAATTTACTTTTAAAAAAATATTGTCGAAAAACATAAAATACTAGTTTTGGCGGATAAAATAATCGAACCTCGAAGTACTGTACGTATTCTCCTGTTCTCATGTCCCAAAGATATGCAGTGTTGTCACAGGCCTGACCGTAGAATAAATAAAATATATTAATAAAATAGCTGAGAAACAATCAATTAAATTTACAATAATGAAGAAAAAATTCAAAAGTATATATATTAGTTATCTAATTCTAGAAGAACTATAATTTTCATTTTAATTTTAATTTTCATTTTTAACTTTAAAAGTAGTAAAAAAAAACACTTTTATTTCTCCCCTTGCTATGTTAGTAATATATTAAAATTAAATAAAATGTGTCGTGGACAGACCTCAAATTCTGAAGTAACGTAATAATATTATTCACGATACAATTTTTCAAAAATTTTATATTTAAATTTTATTAATCAGGGTGCCGATATAAATCATTTTATAGCTCTAGCTCAGCAATTCCTCAAAATTTATAACTTAATTATCTTAATCCCTATTTGTTTGTAAATAGTATATCCTTTTATCGAATAGACTTTAGATATTTAAAACAATAAATTCTCCTGGATCAAATAGTTTAAATCAAATTAAAGGTTTACATTATCAATTTTTAAATATATAGAAATCAGAGGTTTCTGTAAGAAAAGTAATTTAAACATTAATCATTAAAATTCGGAATTTTAATTGACCCTCCATGCAATTTTTTTTGCAAAGATTGCAATGCCCGATTTTATACCCTGGCATAATGTGGAAGATATTGTTGTGTTTCTATAGTTTAATTGTAATAATTCCTATATATTTCCCTTAAGAAGAAATGCGCAAATCACTTTTGTAGTGAAACCACAATAGCAAATATACTAGTTTTCAAAATATATAAACATTATATTTAATTCATACTTGATCAGACATCTTTGCATGAAGGGTCACTTAAAATTACACTTACAGTCCCTTTAATTGTAATTGTAAAAAAAAAAAAAAAATTTAAAAGACCTACCCCAGAAGCAAAAAGGTTTAGGTTGGGTCCTGGAGCCAGATCAATCGTCATGACATCTTATCAATCAAATCCAATCAAATAATAGATTATATATTTAAAAAATCTTTTGAAACCAATTTTTCTTATTTATTATGAGTCCGATCCAATAATACGTAATTTAGTTTAAACTGTTACGCTCTAACCTAATCAAATGTACAATGCGATCCTATCCAAAAAGGAGAAAAATAAGAAAATATAATTGTTTAAACAAAATATAGTTTATGGAGGGTGGGGGGGAGGGGGGGGGTTATACATATATTTGAAGATTCTGATCTATTTATTGATCATAGCACTGGTAATCCAATATAGTTTATGGAGGGTGGGGGGAGGGGGGGGTCATATGTATATTTGAAGATTCTGATTTATTTATTATCATAGCACTGGTAATCCAATATAGTTTATGGAGGGTGGGGGGAGGGGGGGGTCATATGTATATTTGAAGATTCTGATTTATTTATTATCATAGCACTGGTAATCATATAAAGGATTATTCCCTATCTTATTATCCGAACCAAGACTAATTTTCTCAAACTTGTCGACAGTAAAATATATAGATTGAGTTTCTAGAAAAATATAGATTAAGTTTCTAGAAAAACTGGTATTCTTCATTGGATTAAACCTCACTTCCAGTCTTGGGATTAAAACATTTTAAAGATTTTTAGAAAGACTTAAAAGGAGCATATACTATACTGCACATTGCACAAGTTTTGAAAAGAAATGTTTCACAATTTTTGCACAGACGCATTTTTTGTTTCTCTTTAGATCACACTTAAGTTTTGAAAATTTTGCAGTTAAAAAAAAAAAATAAATTCAGGCTTTTCAAAACGTATAGCATGTCATGAGTTTATAGGATCTCTTAATTTCTACATTCACGTCCATCGCTCAGTAATATCACTTAGATTTTAAAAATGTCAAAAACAAACGAAAAGAATTTAACCATGTTGAGAGTATATATTACAAACTATCTAGACAACATGGGTTGTGTCCAAGTTATGTGTATGTCTACTGTTTAAATAAAATAAAAGTTGGCTGATATTTGAATATTTTTTTGGTGGATTTTTAAAATTTTAAGAAATAAAAATTTTTTTGAAAAACATTTTTTAAAATTTCTGAGCATCCATGAACCTTGCCTGGGACCATGCAAGGTCCCACAAAAAATTTGGATCAGATCGGTTTACTTGTTTTGACGTTTATTGGATACAAAGACGTCAGACACTGATACACTCAAACAAGCAAATTAAGTATACAAGTTGGATTATATTCCTGAAGTATGTCCGTGAAATGTCTGAAGAACTGCGCCACTCTCCACATCCCAGAGTGCCACTGTAGCATCCCCTGACCCAGTCAATATCTAGATAAGGTCGTCTTTCATTGTTCAGGTCTTCATTAAACCATCGTTCTTTATAATGAACATAAAAAACTTATGCCTGTAAGCAGGAAAATGTGGTCTACTCTCTTTACATTTTAGATAATGCCGAACATTTTGGTTTTTAATTTGGTTCGAAATTGAATAATTGAAACTAGGAAAATTTTCGACTTATCTTTGTCAATTTTTTACGTACAAAATAGACAAATCATATCTAGCCCTATTCTCATGTTCAATGTTCTCTTTTTTAGATAAAACAAGGTAACATTTTTTTAAGAATTTAGACTTTAATGAATTTTCTGACTTTAATGACTTTAATGAATTTACTGACTTTAATGACTTTAATGACTTTAATGACTTTAATGACTTGGAACTCTTTTCTAATTTTTTTTCTAGTTTTTTTCTTGTAAACGCCGACAAAGAAAAAAGAAAGGAATAAATGTACAATTGCAAAGAAAAGCATTAAAATAAAAAATATATAACTAAAGTTATAAGTTATAATTACTAACATTATCTAAATGTTTTACTATTCATGTGCGCCATCTCATGGTTGTATTTTAAAACAGGTTCACACCTACAATTTATTCACTAAATCGTGTAAATCTACGAATATTAACCTGAACATTTTCTAAATCATAGACACACACATAAGAAAGATGTTTGCATTGACCAAAGATGAATCCTATATTAAAAAATGGCCCAAAAAGTCCAAAAGTTGACAGAAGTTTCCATTTGCCAGCATGCTGAAAATATCAAATCGTTTTCCAAGCCGAATAAGATTGCCATGTTGTAAAATCATAATCATAAGAAGTTTTAATAAGTTTATATTATAATAATAAGTATGAAGTCATGGCGCTTTATGTCTAAGCATTTGGAAGGGAGTGAAAGGAAGCTTATTCAAGATATTTCAGGACCAATCCAAGGAAAATTCGAACAAATCAAGAAAGATTTCCTCTCATGTTCAGGTGTCCAAATTAAGTGATAAAGATAAATAAAGAAAGCAAGGTAAAAATCCTTATCATAAATACTAAGCTATAAAAAGCTTTTAGATGTTCACATCGAAAATAGGATAATCAACTCTGCTCAGTATCTTCAAATGTATCAGCTGAACCTTTCCTCTGTGATTGAAACCTTTAAAATCAAGCAACTTAAATAGCTGACGGCATAAAAGAAGCAAGCTAGGTAAGGATAGTAGTATAATCCGTGCCCTGCCAACCCTGAACCTGTGTAGAGTAGAGTTGTCTGTACCGTCTATACTGTCCATGGGGTCGCTGATGTCCAAAAACAACTACTAAATCATTTCCAATTTTTGTATGAACTAGTTTTATTGTAACAAATATTAGGTAAATATGAATTCACAAGATTTTCTTGCCAATATTGAGAGCCCTAGAATTCAAAATGTGAGTGGGAACCTTTTTTATGTACACCCTTTTAATATGTATATATATTATAAGAGATAACTGTTATGATTTTTTCTATTTTTTTTTTCGATAAAAAGAAATCATAAAAATAATTATGCTTCAAGAAAATATATTATTTTTTCCTAATGAAGACACAAATGTTCATTTAGAGATAAATGAATTGGAAAATAGAAAAGTAGTAATGAATGGCGGGCTTCAAGGTAAACATGGAGATTGATGCTTACATATAAATATGACTGTAGTCGACAATAGCAGTGGGGCGGATGATAAGTTGCCCCATGTATAAAGTATTGAGATATTTGTGTCCATTAAAAGATGCCATCCAAGAAAATATGTTTCTAACGCGTGTTTCAACACACAGAAAAGCTAAGCCAACGTTGAAACCGGAGTTCTATTTTCAGGCCAATAGTCTTGAGACCAAGGAGTTCTATTTTTCAGGCTTTGATACAGTGGGAAATAGAATAGTAGTGGGAGTGGGAGTGCCAAGCTAAAACCGAAATAGAGTTAGTCGTTACGAAGAACCAAAAAAAAAGAAGGTTCATCCCCCACATGAGGCGGAAGAAAGGCGGAGGTTCTGCCTGCCCGAGAGCTTAGATGTTACTCAAATCAATAGTATCAAATCAAATTATTTTACCCATGTGGGTACTGGGTATTCAGAAGATTGCCTCCAACATCAGAAAAAATGCTATGTATGCCCCCTCTACCCGAGGTGAACGTATAAAATGCCTTTTTTTGCTGAAAAATAGGTGAATTTTTTATTAACATAGGTATGTATGGTAGTAAGCAGATACTTTTCTTATAAAACTATAAGATTTTTTTGTAAAATCATGATAAAAAAAATATATTTAGCAAGAAATTCAACTTTAAAAATCTTTAAATTGCCTCTTTTTTTCTTTAAGACTTGCTTAAGTTTTTGTCTTGGAAGTGACTGTAGTTTGAAAATGAAAAAAAATAATAAATGTTGAAATTAAGATTTTGAAAAATCAGTGGAAGTGAGGGTAGTTTTTAATTTAAATAAAATTCTTGAATAAATGTTGATAAAAAAGTTTCAACTTGTCGGTGGTAGTGAGGGTAGTGGGGAATT